CTCTATTTTATAGATATATTCATGGACGATGCTCTTCTGAAATATCAACAATTATTCCTCGCTTGGCAGTCCCCGCGAGATTAATACGTCGAGTTGAGGTTTCGCACCCCTTCGTGGTCACTTTGGGGACCTGCAGAACACCTCTTTCTAAAGACTCGTTCATCCAACAAACAGTTAGGCTCTGGAACACATTGCCAAGGGAGGTGTTTCCCGAGGCATATAACCTCCAGAAATTTAAGAAGAACACCAATTTTTACCTTATTTCCCTTGGTTCTCACGATGTTCTCTGAACATTACAGGATATCCCTTTTCGTGGGAACCAGAACGTAAAAAAAAACATCGTCGTTTTGTTCGAAACAGCACACTATACTTTGATTCTCAACATGCAAAGGTCAATGCTTCATCATGTTAATGACATTTCCGATAAATCGATAAAAAAATTGCACTTTCTACATCCACAAACAATAATGCTCATAATGGTATTCGCATGTAGGCATTAATTTAGCAAATGCTGCATCACATCGGAAGAGAAAATGTTTGTTAATATTTTTAATAACCGTTCTTAACTTTTCTCTTTGATATTGATATGCATGTATATTCGAAGTCAGGAACCACTTCTTAATTGATAGAATTTCCTGTTGCCACATTAATCAATCAATAATGTCAATTCTTTTGAAATCAATTTTATTTGGCCCACGAAATATATTCTCTATTTTTTTATCTTTTGCAGCAAAGGAATCCGTATTCATGCTCGTCGAACAATACGTGAGTAACTATAGTCCGCCATCTTCTCTGTGAATCTCTGATATGACTATTCGTTTTTCAGTTATTTCCAAAAACACCTAATTTCTGGATTTTCAATGTAATACTTTTGGACGTCAACCCATTTAGACCTGAAACTAGTTTTTTCCGATTTTATTTTGTATATTTTTCATGAAAATGGTTAATAGAATGTCAAATAGGTCGAGAAAAAATCATAAGAATTTTTTCCATTTCCAGTTTGGGAAAATACAGCAGTCATTCTAAATGGACGGTATATAGGATCGATGGCTACTATTAGATTTGGTAATATAATCATTTTATATCTTGAAAAATGCTCAGCAACATTTTAGCTCCTTTAGAAGTGACAAAGAAAATATCAAGATATAAGTGAAAGGGCTGGTGAGGCATTTTCTGTAAAAAATCTGCGTATTGGAGAACACCTGAGGCAACTTGGTAGGTATCAAAATAAATAATGTATAGCTACTTATCCAAGGCGTAGGGTATACCTAGGTACTCAAAATGTATACCTCCACCTTATAGGCTTGCCTCTAATGAATTGAGCTTACCGCTATGTCCCAAATACGGTATAATAGCCTCATCAAAGTTGTGAATCTCTTCAACTGCGGCATTATCAAAAACTTTTATTTAGGCTGGTCAGGGTACTTGTCATTTTTTTCAAGGGAAGTATTATCATTGCAATGAAGATTACTCATTATAAATTGAAATATATATCAGGAAATAGCGGCTGATATTAGTTTTATTCTGGGTATCGCTGCAATTTTGCCAATACATATGTTGTCTTGGAACAGTTGTATATCCACTGACAAGTAACACCCCTATGACGCAGTAAACGCAGTACATCTCGTCTGCAGTATTGATACAGGGCGATTTTTTTGCTGTGCATATATATTGACACAATTGACATTTCTCCTGCCAAGTTTCCATCGGAAAACAGCTTGAAAATATTTCCAGGGGAACGATTCCTTTGTGCAGTTTGAACTGGTTGCCGTTGCATAAACGTAGATTCTAAATCTTCATTGAGAGTATAGTCAAACGTGTTCAAGAGTTCAGGTCGCCTTCAAACAAAAGTGGACAGTGGTAACCATCATATCTACTTTCATCATTCCAAATACGGTTCAGATATATTTTGAAATAATCTACGATTCTTGTCGAAAAAAAAATGAAGAATCATTTTTGTAATGCACTAGACTTATTCAAATTTCATTGTGTAAAATTATCTTGGAATTTGAACACTCTGTAGATCGGTGAAGAAACGTTTGCGGACACAGTAATGTTTATAGGAAAAATAAGATTCATCTGAAAACCATAAGAGCTCTGAAACCTTGATACTGAATTTTGAAACACTCTGTATAATGTATTTGTGTGTATAGATACCTCTAATTCATCCAAATATTGATTTTGAGAGCACTTCTATGAATGCTTCAAATAGAGTGTCATTGTATGCCAAAGGAAAAGCAACACAAATAAAACACACACTTTAATGAGGTTTGTTATAGTATTTTCAACTGTATGCAGTCAATATTGAATCAGTCAATACCTGGGTAATAGCGAATAAGGTTTCTATTTTCGTACCATACTTCGCGAATAATCATAGATGATGAATAAAATAAACACGATTATTTTCTTTCCCACATATCTTGGTTCAAAAGAACACCAAATCGTTTTTAGTTTCAAAATAGTCCTTGGTCCTTTTCACACAATCCTTGTTCATCGAATTATCTCCCAAAAATAGCCTCTTAACCCCATGAAAGCTCCTTAATGAAGAATTCGAGAAGCAAATGAATGCATTCGTGTTCATGTAAACACTGAACAGAAACCTAAACCGAGCAAAAATAGCATCTGGTAGTTCGAGAAGTTTGTTGTTATTCAAACTAATGGTTCCGAAGTTCCTCAGGTTCTTGAAAGCATCAGGATGGATATACCTGATATTATTATTATCGAAATTGATGCAACCGTAGACTTTGAAGGAAGAAACAGTCTCATATAGGACTCTACCATGTTCTTTGTAGTAGGAAAAGCAACACAGATAAAACAACACTTTAATGAGTTTTGTTATAGTATTTTCAACTGTATGCAATATTGAATCAGTCAATACCTGGGTAATAGCGAATAAGGTTTCTATTCTCGTACCATACCTACTTCGCGAATAATTATAAATGATGAATAAAATCAACACGATTATTTTCTTTTCCACATATCCTGGATCAGAAGAACACCAAATCATTTTTGGTCTCAAAATAGTCCTTGGTCCTTTTCACACAATCCTTGTTCATCGAATTATCTCCCAAAAATAGCCTCTTAACACCATGAAAACTCCTTAATGAAGAATTCGAGAAGCAAATGAATGCATTCGTGTTCATGTAAACACTGAACAGAAACCTAAACCGAGCAAAAATAGCATCTGGTAGTTCGAGAAGTTTGTTGTTATTCAAACTAATGGTTCCAAAGTTCCTCAGGTTCTTGAAAGCATCAGGATGGATGTACCGGATTTTATTATTATCGAAATTGATGCAACCGTAGACTTTGAAGGAAGAAACAGTCTCATAGGACTCTACCATGTTCTTCGTAGTATCTTCTGGAAGTTCCGTGAGGTTGTTATGATGCATAGATACTTCATAAAGTACTCTGGCATTGCTGAACCAATCTGGATCGAACTTCTTGATTTCGTTATAATCCAAAGCTATCGCTTCTAGCTTTTGCATGTTTTGGAAAGCACCAGGCTCGATCACTTTTATGTTGTTTTCACTCAAAATCAGACTCTTTATTGTGGTTCCGTTAAAGACTCCTTTACGAATACGTTCCAAGTTATTCGATTGAATGACCACTTGCTCCAACTTTTTCGTTGCGAAGTAACCTGGTTCTATGAACTCCAAACCGATTTTGGAAAAAATCACTTCTTGGACGGTGTCTGGTAGGAAATACCTGCATATTTCTGGGATGTGGAAGTTTCTCAATTCCATGAATTTAACGGAGCCTTCGGTCGCTGAAAACGTGTGCCAAGGGTAATACACGTAGTTTTCTTTCACCCCCAAGACAACGAATGCATCTTTGAGATAATGGGGATTGCATATTCTGGCTTCGTTTATTTTCAAGAGTAGTATGAAAAGCGCGATCACATCAGCTAGGCTTTTGGATTTCATCACTGGAATTTTGAGACTAGTCTAAATGATCGAAATATTATCGATGATTTGTTCTCATTCTCTTTGATAAACTTCTGAACTCCACAACTGATAAATGATTCATTATAGTAGGTATACAGGGTGTTTCAATCTACAGATAGCTTTAAAAATTCAAGTTTTTTCCTCTTTTTCTTATATATACAGGGTGTTTCGAAATTCAACCGACAACGCTTGACAGGTGATGATAGCCCTCGTGATTTCATATAACTCACTGAGATAGGGACATATACGGTCTTCATGTGTTCAGTTCTCGAGATACAGGGCGTTGAATTTAAGAAATTAAAATAGTTTTTTCGCAATATCTCAAGAAAAATTGAATAAAATGCATTCAAATTCGGTATAAGAGAATTTTATCCAGAGGTGCGCTACAGAGGGTTGAGATAACTTTTCCTTCCATATTTTGATGAATTGATTGTTCAATTAGGTTGAAACAATGCATCACCTTCAACTGAGCTGAAATAAACAGTTATCGAGATATTTGACCCAAAATAGAAGTTTGCATAGTAATTTTTCATCTTCCTCAGTAGTAGAAAATTACAAAAATGTTTGTTTTCTCTTTATGCGTGGAATAACTATTTCTGTTCAGCTATAGAATGAGATCTGAATAGTATCTAATCTACTCAGATTGCAGATTGGCCATGATGGCCAGCATCTGCAAATCATTGATGTTTGCTGGGAATACCGTGTAGTTGACTGGATTGAACGTGCGCGAAGCGCTTGTTCAGAACACATCTATGGCCCGCCTACAAATACGAGAAGTGCCTAAATCTTTCGAACCATTCCCAGCACGTGATATGTTGAGATTCGTGTTTTTTTATGATTATTCACCACAATAAAATTGAAGTGGCTGGGTTTGGCCAGAGAGTTTTATTCCGGTCCTCTAATAGCATGGCATTCTCTGACAATGAGGTTTGGGAACGGTTCGATAACTTTAGGCCCTTGTCAAATGCGTAATTACTGTTCTATGGATCTATGAAGCAACAGACATCTGAGACGTCAACTGTCAATTTTGTCAACAATGATCAAACGTCAACCTTCAAAATTTTGAAGTTAATTTAGTTGAAGTTCAAAATGGCCTCACAAATTATAAAAATATTTATTTTTTTACGTTAATTTGAAAAATTTACTATTTATTGGAGTGCGGTTTCTTGCAGGATTATCAGCCAAACATCGTATGATATTGTCAACGTTTTTTTATCGACCGAAATCAAACTTTTAACCAATGGATCAAAATGTACTAGTACTACCCTTTGCGACTGTTGTAAAATGTACCAAGGTGTCCTGATAAGGTGTAGTCCTTCATCATCAATTGAAACTCTTGGTGCTCATACTAGCTAACATCGAATCGTCAATAAAATTGTCTTTATTTCAGCTAGCAAAATAAAAACAACAAGGAAAAATGGAGTCCACTTTTCCAGGAGTGTCTTCCTTCCCTGACATCAAAGTTGAATTTTCAGAATTCAACATAGGTGATAACATCCTGAAAAACGATTTCTCAAGTGATGAAGATAGTCTCAACGGGGCCCATCTAAACTTTGAGCTCAACAATGACACAGACAGTGAAGACTTGGATTCCCTCACAAAAACAGTCAGAAAAAATCGCCGCAAAGCATCAGCCCCACAAAGAGCCGTGCAAATTGAATCTAGTCAAGCTGGATTCATTGAAAACAGTTCAGAGTCCTCACAAGACAACATGGACAGTCTCAACTTCACTAGTATACAGAACTTGAGTTTCAGACTGAAAGATGATTCATTGCTTGATTTTGGGGACAGTGAAGATATTTGTGAGGATATGCTTGAGAATATCAGTGAAGATGACATTTTCAAGGATTTGCAGGAAGAAGCAGGCAAGTACTTTGATTCTATAAATTGTTCCTTGGGAGTGTAAAGGTCTTGTTTAAGATGGAGAAACTTTGGATGAAGAGATGATAGACAATGTGAAAGAAGAGTGGAGGGCCCATTGGGGGGTGAAATGTAATATGTGTGAGCAAGTGTTTCCCTTTAAAACTGAGTTTGATAAGCACTATATCAGCAGCTACAAATTGAATCCTGTATATACCTGTACTTTTTGCAACAAATCTGCTGAGAAGTACTCTACATTTCGTTCTCATTGTTATAGACATATAACTGAAGGACGTTATAAGTGAGTGTTATCTTTTTTAAAATCTTTCAGAAACACTTTATTGTGCTTTTTTTTAGGTGCCAAGAATGTCCAAAAGGGTTTAGTTTGCAAAGTATGTTGCATGTTCATGTTATGGCAAAACATACAAAGGCAAAACCTTTTATGTGTGAGGAATGTGGCAGAAGTTTTGTTACTAAACCTGGCCTAAAGATTCACATGAAGAAACATAAGACTGAAACAAAAGAGGATTATCCTTGTGTGGAATGTGGAAAAGTGTTAGTGATATTATTAAAAAGCTCATTGAATTGTCTGAAGTTTCTTGTAATTTTCTTTGATTGTTTGAAACTGCTTCCTTTAGAAAGGAATGGCATAATCTGTAAGGAGCTTTTTTTAATTTATTGGAATAGCATGAGATGAAATTGTTCAGAAGTTTGAAAAAAAAAAAAGTTGAATTTTTGAAGAATCTGTTGAATTCTTCTAGGTTTACCAAAATTTCTTGAAATTCCTTGGAATTTATGAACTTTTCTAGTATATATGTGCAAAATGCATTGAATTCATTGAGATTTCATCAAATTCTTTGATTTATGTTGGAATTTCCTGAAATTTTTGGTGATCTTGTGAAACATACTGGAAAATTATAAAATTGTAATAATTTTTAAAATTTCCAGGACTTTTCTAAAATGTCATAAAATTCTTGAGAGTATGGAAATTCATCAAATTATTGAAGAATTTGTTGAATTCTTCTGAGTTTACTAGAATTTCTTGAAATTTGTTGGAATTTATGAACTTTTCTAGTATATATGTGCAAAATGCATTGAATTCATTGAGATTTCATCAAATTCTTTGATTTATGTTGGAATTTCCTGAAATTTTTGGTGATCTTGTGAAACATACTGGAAAATTATAAAATTGTAATAATTTTTAAAATTTCCAGGACTTTTCTAAAATGTCATAAAATTCTTGAGAGTATGGAAATTCATCAAATTATTGAAGAATTTGTTGAATTCTTCTGAGTTTACTAGAATTTCTTGAAATTTGTTGGAATTTATGAACTTTTCTAGTATATATGTGCAAAATGAATTGAATTCATTGAGATCTTTCCAAATTCTTTGATTTTTGTTGGAATTTCCTGATTCTCGGTGATCTTGTGAAACATTCTGGAATATTATGGAATTTTCTAATTTTTCAGAATTTCCAGGACTTTTCAAAGATGTCATAGATTTCTTGAGAATGTGGAAATTCATAAAATCATTGAAGAATTTGTTGAATTCCTTTGAGTTAACTAAAATTTGTTGAAATTTATGAACTTTTTTAGTTTATATGTGCAAAATGCATTGAATTCATCAAGATTTTGTGGAATTCTTTGATTTATATTGGAATTTCCTGAAATTCTTTGGTGATCTTGTGAAACATTCTGGAATATTATGAAATTGTAATAATTTTTCAGATTTTCCAGGACTTTTCTAAAATGTCATAGAATTCTTGACTAGAGTATGGAAATTCATCAAATTATTGAAGAATTTGTTGAATTTTTCTGAGTTTACTAAAGTTCCTTGGAATTTTTTGTAATTTATGAACTTTTCTAGTACATACAGGGTGAGTCATTAGTGTGGCAAAGTGAGATAAGGGCTCTACAGTTTGAGATAGATAGACAAAAGTTCCAGAGATGATCTAGGACCATGAGCAGCACATTTCCAAATTATTTCGCTTTATACAGGGTGACCCAGAAATGCGTGGCTTATCAAAGTTATACTTTTTCTTATGGGACACCCTGTATTTCATTGCATTTTCGCATTCACCTTTGTGAGCTGATTTCATCAATGCATCACACTTGGGGTCTAGCGAGAATGATTACAGAGATATAGGGTGTTCAAAATCGAGATTTTTCAACTTTAGGATTTTTTTTGCGTCAAAACTATTCATTATTGGTCAAAACGGCTTTCATGTCCCTATCCCAACTTTTGATTTACTATCTACTGACATTTTATTGGAACAAATACAGGGTGGTTCAAGATTGAGCATTCTGATCACTCTTGTATCTGTTCCAATTAAATATCAGTAGATAGTGAATCAAAAGTTGGGATAGCGACATGAAAGCCGTTTGGACCAATAATGGATAGTTTCGACGCAAAAAAATTCTCAAGTTGAAAAATCTGGATTTTGAAAACCCCATATATCTCTGTAATCATTCTCGCTTGACCCCAAATGTGATGCAATGATGAAATCAGCCCACAAAGGAGAATGCGAAAATACAATGAAATACAGGGTGTCCCATAAGAAAAAGTATAACTATAATACGCCACGCATTTTTGAGTTACCCTGTATGAAGCGAAATTATTTGGATATGTGCTGCTCATGATCCTAGATCATCTCTGATATTTTTATTCATCTATCTCATATAGTAAAGCAGTTATCTCACTTTGCCACACTAATGACTCACCCTGTATGTGCAAAATTCATTGAATTCATTGAGATTTCATCAAATTCTTTGATTTATATTGGATTTCCTGAAATTCTTGGTGATCTTGTGAAACATTCTGGAATATTATGAAATTGTAGAATTGATTGTGATCTCCTGAGTCATACTGGCGTGTCTTCAGATTTCTTGAAATTACATGATTTTTGTGAATTATTTTGGAATCTTGTGGATTTATTTGGAATTTTGTGGCATCACTCAAGAGTTTCATCAAATTCTTCATTTCTTGACTTTTTATCATGTAGAATTATTTTTGAAATTCCATGAAATCCTTTGTTATTTCGTCAGAATTTCTGAAAATCCATCAATTTCATTCCATTTTGGAGACATAATTGAAATCTTGTGGACTGTTGAAATTTTTATTGGAAATTTTGGGATTTCCCCGCAATTATTTAGAATTTCCTGGAATTTAAGAAATTTGTGGAATCTCTGGAAATCTGTGGAACTCTTTGGAATCCAACAGAGTTCTAGTGGTTTTATGGGAATCTATAGAAATTTCTGTGATTCCTCGGAATTTTTCGAGGAATTTTTGGAATTCTTCGTTCTTTCTTGTGCTCTTTTGGAATTTCCTAGATAATTTCAGAATGTTCTGAAATTATTTGGAATCTCCTTGGACTTCTCAAGAGTTGGAATTTCCTGGATTTCTTCAGTCATTTCCTGGAATCCTCCAGAATTTATTTGACTTTTTCGGAAATTCTTGGCCTCTTTGGAATTTTCTGGATTTCTCTGGAATTTCCTGGAATTCTTCGAATTTTCCTGGATTTCTTTGGAATTTCCTGGAAAACCTTGAACTTTTCTCTAATAATAAGAAGCAACACATACCAATTTGCATTATTTCGTCTATGTTCTTTTTTTATTCTTTTAGATTACATACAAGAGGTGGTTTGACATCACATATGAACGTCCATCGATTGGGCAGGAGATTCATGTGCGATGTTTGTGGAAAAACGTTCACACAAAAAGTCAACATGCAACAACACGTCAAACAACATACAGGGGATAAACCACATTCTTGCTCCAAATGTGGAAAAACGTAGGTCAACCATTATTGGGTTACTGTTTTTCTTTGTTCATTCCTGATCTTCATACTAATGCTTTTAATTTAATTATTTGAAAAAAATCCAGAATTCAAATGGTCTAATATTTATGACTCATCACTATTGACGTCATGACTCAGTGGGTTGGTTGACAACAATAAAAGTTGTTGAGCTGTTTCCAAAGGTACTTGCTATTTTATACCTCATAATTCTAACGAAATTTCATTAGAGTTCTGTTGACATCGGTTGAGTAAGTACATACGAATTTTCAGGACTTGAATTCGATTCAAGATTCGAATTTAATCAATAATGTTTGATTTGCTTCAGTTCAAAAAAATTTGTAACTTCGTGGTATCAAATGAAATGCGAAAAATTTATATATGAATACTTTAGTAAGATTCAGCGGAACAACTGTGAATTTGACAACGTTGTAAGTGGTATTTTTACATTAGATTTGCCAGCAGATATCAAATAAAACAATTTTCATTGTGATATTGCCACGATCTCTCGAGATATTGAAATTTTGTTATATTATTTTTTAACGAAATGTTGAATCACCATATTAACAAAATTTAGGGAAATTAAAATTTGATATTATGGAAGCATAGTGATTTGAACACGACATTCGAAAAAATGAAGTTGGGGGCTTTATAGGAAAAAGTGTGAAAGTGGCAACGTTGCAAATATTATTTTCAGATCCGGCACTAGTGATAACCTCCGTATACCAAATTTCATAACTTTATGTCACTACAGGGTGGTGCAGAATTCAGAATCTTGATCACCCGGTATATGTCCCAATCAAATATCAGTAGATAGTTAATCAAAAGTTGAGATAGGGACATGTAAGCCGTTTTGACCAAGAATGAATAGTTTCGACAAAAAAATTCCTAAAGTTGAAAAATGACGATTTTTCACACCCTATATCTCTGTAATCTTTTCCGCTAGACCCCAAGTGTGATACATCGATGAAATCAGCTCTTCAGAGAGAATCTGAAAATGCAATAAAATACAGGGTGTTCCATTTAAAATAACAAAGTTGTTGCTACTTTTCGATAGAAGCGGCAACGCCGCAGAGCTGAAAATATTTCAGATCGATAGACCAAGAGCAACTACGTGAGTAACCAACATTTCAAAATGATCCTATGTCCGGTTCTCCATAGACGTCTAACGTACCATCGACCGTGAGTTACCCTGTATATCTATACCAATACTGTACCTATGAAATCGGCATGACCCTGTACATAATCAATATGAATTCATGTTGTGACTATCCTGTTTCAGGTTTATAAAAAAATAAAGCATGAAATTTAGTAAATGGGATTTCATCTTCAGTACATTTCAATGTAGTGAATAGGAATTCATCTTCAGTGTTTTTTCTTAAATTTCAGGTTTGCCGAAAAATCACACTTGGTGAGGCACTTCAGCTTTCACAGCGAAGTGCGTCCTTTCAAGTGTGAAGTGTGCCAAAAAATGTACAAGACTGAGAGATGCTTGAAGGTGCACAGTTTAGTGCATGCTGCTGCTCGACCGTTCGTTTGTGGCTACTGTAGTAAGGGATTCCTGAGTAGCACCAAATTGAAGGTGATTGAAAGTCCAATTAAAATTCTGATTATTATCATTATAATTATTATAATATGAGAAGAGTTGTTGGATATTGCATAGTTTCAATGATTAATAGGTTTTCACCCAGGTAGTCAACTTCACTATGACTTCATGAAAAAAAAAAATGGTCCGCCCCTGTATTCCTCAAATTGTTCCTTCCTGTATTACTTACATATGTGTACTATTCCTATACAGTGTGTCCCACTTAATATATGCTCACCATGGGTATCTTTTTAACGGTGAGAGATACGAGGTCGGTTAAATGACACCAAATGTGGAGTTTGTCAAGGCCAACTTTAATGTGAAAAAATATTTTGATTAAATCTATTCGTTTTTGTTTTATGCGCAAAAAACAGATTTTGATCATTTTCATGTATCCTCCGTAACTTCTTTATTTATGAAAATATTCAAATAGGAATTTCACATTCTCGTGGCAATTTTTCAAAGTGATTTCGAAAAAATTATGAAATTTATACCAACTCTTCTAGGATTTGAGATATCAGCACCATTTTTAGTTTTTCAAATGTAGGTCATAGCTCACTATGACTTAGTTACAAATAACTTTTTTTTCTCTTACAGAAGATATGTCACAGTAATAGTGGTGATAACAACGGAGTTCTCGTCATTTATACAAAAACAAAAAACTATATGGAAGCCGCAATCTTGAATTCATAAATTTTAACGAACAAATCATGATCTCCGACCTCAAAAACCCCCAATTACCAATTTTGAATGGAATCGGACCAAATCTTGTCCGCCATCTTGGAGCAGCCATTTTCTTTAATTTCAACAAAAATTCCATAATGTATTGTCACCGAAATTATGAACACCTGCCAAATTTCAAGTTGATCGGAGTTATGGAATTTTTGTTGAAATCGAAAAAAGGGCTGCTTCAAGATGGCGGACAAGATTTGGTCCGATTCCATTCAAAATTGTTAAGTGGGGGTTTTTGAGGTCGGAGATCATGTTTTTCTTGTTGAAATTCATAAATTCAAGATGGTGACTTCCAAATAATTTTTTGTTTTTGTATTAATGACGATAACTCCGTTGTTATCAGCATCAGCACAAAACTATGACTGCGATATATCATCTGTAAGAGAAAAGAAAGTTATTTGTAACTAAGTCATAGTGAGCTATGACCTACATTTGAAAAACTGAAGTTGGTGCTGATATCTCAAATACTAGAAGAGTTGGTATAAATTTCATATTTTTTTCGAAATCACTGTAAAAAACTGCCATGAGAATGTGAAATTCCTATTTGAATATTTTCATGAATAAAGAAGTTACGGAGGAGACATGAAAATGATCAAAATATGTTTTTGCGTATAAAACAAAAACGAATAGATTTTATCAAAATATTTTTTCACATTATAGCTGGCCTTGAAAAACTCCACATTTGGTGTCATTTAACCGACCTCGTATCTCTCACCGTTAAAAAGATACCCATGGTGAGCATGGTAAGTGGGACACACTGTAGAGACAGAAGTTGGTCCCGCTTTGAGGACAGTTGATATCTCTGTTGACAGGTTATAAAATGTTATTTTTCATATGACTTTTTTCCCAGATAATCCAAAATAGGTGCCTGCAAAAACATGCCTGCAACGTACGTCGAGAATTTTCAGATTTTAATCTCAATATTGATTCATCCTTTCAACAGTCACATAAAAAATAGTGGGACACGGATACGGGAAAAATAGTAGGTTTCAGCTCATGGTTTTTTGTCTCCCTCCGTTCATCATTTTTTTGAAGTAATAAAATATCTTTTCAAATGGCACCCTGTATATTTCTGTGGCCTATTTTATTTGCTTTAAAATTCTCTATCAAACTATATATCACAATTTGATATTTGTTCATTAATTGGCTGTTAAATTGCATTTTATTAAAATACATGAAGTTGGCTGCGGTCCGAATGCAATGACATTTTGATGCTTGATAGGCTTAGAAATCCAAAGATCATTAACTAGACGATATTATCAGAATATTTTACATACCCTAATCGTTCCAATAATTTCATTGAGTTTAAAAAAATCATCCGAAAATAACTCACTTGTCGATTGTCGAACACTATAACATTCACACGGGCGAACGCCCCTACAAGTGCAAATACTGCGACCGTACCTTCACCAACTGCCCCAATTGGCTGAAACACAGTTTCATTGACAGCATTTTTTCAATAAAAAAATGTATCACTCATGGGCGTACATTATTTTTTCTTGAAGGATTCAAAATAATAAAAAAAAATCGAACTTTGTTCGAAATCTTCGAAAAAAGTTACTCTAGCATGGGCGTACCAATATATTTTTTCAAGGGCTCAAAATTGAAAAAAATACCTTGATTTCTGAATTTTCTTCGACTCCTCAAAAAAAAAGACAAACAGTAACCAATTGTCGATTCTCAGCAACACTACACACTTCAACTGCAAGTACTGCATCCGTACCTTCACCAACTATCCCGATTTGTTGAAACACACTTCCTTTGACAGCATTTTTTCAATGATAAAGTTGAACTTTCATGGGCGTACATTATTTTTTCTTGAAGGGGTCAAAAAATGAAAAAATCGAACTTTGTTCGAAATTATTCAAAAAACTTGCTCTAGCATGGGCGTACCAATATATTTTTTCAAGGGCTGGAAATAAAAAAAACCGTAATTTCTGAATTCTGTTCGACACCTCCCAGAAAAAAATCCGAGCAGAAACCAATTGTCGATTTTCAGTCTGCGACCGTACCTTCAACAAGTACTCCAATTGGCTGAAACACAGTTCCTTTGACAGCATTTTTTCAATAATAAAATTGAACTTCCATAGGCGTGCATTATTTTTTCTTGAAGGGGTCAAAAAATGAAAAAAACCGAACTTTGTTCGGAATTATTCAAAAAAGTTGCTCTAGCATGGGCGTACCAATATAATTTTTCAAGGGCTCAAAATAAAAAAAAAATCGTTATTTCTGAATTTTCTTCGACCCTTCCCAAGAAAAAAATCAAAAAAGTGACCAATTGTCGATTCTCAGCAACACTACGACATCTACACGGGCGAACGCCCCCACAAGTGCAAATACTGCGACCGTACTTTCACCAATTACCCCAATTGGCTGAAACACAGTTTCTTTGACACCACTTTTTCAATGAAAAAAATCATCTTTCATGGGTGTACATTATTTTTGCTTGAAAGGGTCAAAAATAAAAAAAAATCGAACTTTGTTCGAAATTATTCAGAAAAGTTGCTTTGCCATGGGCGTACCAATATATTTTTTCAAGGGTTCAAATTAAAAAAAATCATTATTCCTGAATTTTCTCCGACCCTTCCCAAAAAAAAGAGCGAAACAGTGACAAATTGTCGATTCTCAGCAAACCTTCAAAATCCACACGGGCAAACGCCCCTACAAGTGCAAATACTGCGACCGTACCTTCACCAACTACCCAATTGGCTGAAACACAGTTTCTTTGACACTACTTTTTCAATGAAAAAATGCATCTTTCATGGGCGTACATTATATATCCTGAAGGGGTAAAAAATAAAGAAAATCGAACTTCGTTCGAAATTATTCAGAAAAGTTGCTTTGCCATGAGCGTACCAATATATTTTTCAAGGGTTCAAAATAAAAAAAAATCATTATTCCTGAATTTCCTTCGACCCTTCCAAAAAAAAATCAAAACTGACGAATTATCGATTCTCAGCAACACTACAACATCCACACGGGCGAACGCCCCTACAAGTGCAAATACTGCGACCGTACCTTCACCAACTACCCCAATTGGTTGAAGCACACGCGCAGAAGGCACAAGGTGGACCACAAAACGGGGGCCGAGCTGGAAGCGAAGCCCGACGCGTCTAGGGCTCCGGTGAAAGAAGAGGGGAGCCTCCCAGCGACCCCGGGTTCCGTGGGAGCTGAAAAATTAGAGGTAAGGATAGGAAATCTTCAAAACTCATTTTTTCAAAGTTTCACCCTGGGTACTTACCCTGCATTTCTTCTATCTCATTCCTTCATCAATTTAGGTGAAAACGACTAAGATTGAAATGAAAAAAACACCTACAACTGCAATAGGTGCAGAAGATACCTAATCAATAAAGTTACAAAGTATGAAAAATCCATTGGAATCGACTCAGATAGTTTTAAGATGTTTATGAAAAACTAGAGAAGCTTCAACAACCCTTGTCTTGGAAAGAAAGCATAATCGAACATATTGTTACGTTTTTCGGGTGTAGAAGCGAACACGACACTATTTATTTTCGAACTGATTCATTTAAACTGAAGAAACACTAATTTATATCGAACTTATAACTACTATTTATGAAAAACCATTTATATCACGCGGTATATGACTGTCTCTCTGACACTCGCTGCTTGACTGACTGACTGCAGATGTTTGGCCGTCTTATATATGAGATCCCTTGGTAGGCTTTGATTCGAGAACGTTCTCGAATGATCTTCCGTACCTTTCTTTTTGTTCTAGAAGCTTCTTAGAAAAATACCTCTCTCTAAGTATTCCATCGATTGTTTTCAGAACATTCCAGAATCTTCTGTCACGTTATTTGCCACCGCGACATATATTGAGTGTTCGGAAATCGACTGGTACATGTTGGAATCATTGGGATGTTGGAGCACAATCTGAGATGCGTGTTACTAGATGACCGTTGTACTCCTGCCTTCCTGCTGATGATTCTAGAGCTCCTCAAAGAGAAATATCATCAAAATATGTTTATACGATCTATTGTTTCATGTTTCAACCCTCAATACATAGACACCGATTCATTCATTGATTATTAAAAAGTGTACGCCAAAAAATCCTGAACGCGAAACACAGATAAATGAATGAAATCACTAATGGTGGGGATAACTTTGCGGAATGATTTCCAGAGAATTCCAGGACCCATCGATTGTTATAGTTGGGGGGAGCATGTTTTACAGTTAAACCAACTTGATGTGTTCATCCCCCCAACCTCTAGCCTAACGTTAATTTCAAATTCAACTACCCTAATTCCAGCATATCATTTCAAAGTCCTTTCCATTCTGATTACTCTGATGCATTGTTTTTCGAAAAAATCAGTTGAAATTTGAGAGTTATAGAATAAAATCAATACTTGCCAATAATTGACAAACCGGCAATTACGTTATAATTAATTACCAAAATTGCCCATCAAATTAAAGCTTTTCATTTAGTGCATATCCACATCCTTCATATTGGTTGTGTCAGTCAATTCACTAGAATTAAAATAGTCTATAACTGAAAAACCTGACACAAAATCAAAGTTCTATTCAATGAATAGTTCAAAATGACATCCATTAACTTATAAACAATGATAAACACTTTTTAATTTTTTTTTCGAACATTGCTGAAGACATCTGGTATTATTAATCGGCATTCCTCCATAATTGTCTTGAGTAACACGCCTGGTGTTCAGGTTGTGAGGCAAACACTCGCGATTTCAAATAACCCCATGAAAAAGTCCAAATGGGTTAGATCAGGTGATCTTGGTGGCCATTCATTGACCTGACAAATGATCATCTAAAAATTGCCGCACAGCAACGAAAACGGATGAAAATATGGCTTTTAAACAAGAGTATCAATATGACGTAAAAATGATGTCATATTTTCGAATCATTCATTAAAAAGTTCCGTGAAAAAAGTTATCAGTCGATTATCAGGAATCATTCACGTGGCACCCCCTGTAACAAACTGAAGAATAATACATAAAATAATATTCCCTGTGTAAAATCATGATTCTTTGCCGATTTTGATAATAATTGATGAATATGCAGTGAAACTATTAGCAACAAACGAAATGAAATCAACTTTAACGCCCTGTATCATTTTCCACAGCAATATTTTATCAAGGTATATTCGGTCTTATCGCCATATTTTGATTCAAATAAATGCCCCAATAGTTTTGACTCACCCTGTATAATTGGAATGGATTGATCACAGTATATGACGTCACACGCTGTCTCTTGTTTTTTATATTATGAAATATCGTGAATTTCAATAATTATTTGAAAACGTACAGGGTGATTCACCATAAATGTCCCCCCCTCTAGTTCACTTATTTTTGAACCGTTTTAAAAATTTGAAAGATAATCTGAAATGATTTTTCTTAAATTTTTTTCCCGCTGCATCAGAAAATACAGGGTGCTCGGAACAAACGATCTACAGAGTACTAATTGATTTTTTCAAATGGAACACCCTGTATTTTATTGTATTTTTAGATTCTTCCTGAAGAGCTGATTTCATCAATGCATCACACTTGGGGTTTAGCGGGAAGGATTACAGAGATATAGGGTGTTCAAAATCGAGATTTTTCAACTTAAGGATTTTTTTGTGTCGAAACTATTCATTATTGGTCAAAACGGCTTCTATGTTCCCATCCCAACTTTCGATTTACTATCTAGTGAAATTTAATTGGAACATTTACAGGGTGGTTCAAGATTCAGAATTCTGGTCACCCTGTATCTGTTCCAATTATTAAATGTCAGTAGATAGTAAATAAAAAGTTAAGATACGGACATGAAAACCGCGTGACCGATAATGAATAGTTTCGTCACAAAAAAAATCCTAAAGTTAAAAATCTCGATTTTGAACACCCTATATCTCTGTAATCAATCCCGCTAGACCCCAAGTGTGATAAATTGATCAAATCAGCTCTTCAGGGAGAATCTAAAAATACAATGAAAAATAGGGTGTTCCATATAAAAAAATCAAATGGTACCCTGTAGATCGTTTGTTCCGAGCACCCTGTATTTTCTGATCTAGTGGAAAAAAACTTTATCGAAAATCATGCAAGATGATATTTCAAATTTTAAAATCGGTTCAAAAATAACTGAGCTAGAGGGGGGGACATTTATGGTGAATCACCCTGTACATAGCTCTGAAGAGAAAACGGTTTGCAGCAGTGAACAAGATTGGGTCAGTACTTCAAAATAATGAAAACAAAGTTATTCACTGAAATAAGCCTCTTCTCAAGGCTGTATGACCTGTTAAATTTGATGACAAATTGTTACAGAAATGATGACAAAAATATGTTTTGTGTCATACAGTGAAAAAGGTGTTGATTTTGCGCAGATTTGCAAACATTCTTGTAAAAATATAGGACTGGTTCTAAACATTTTGATATAAATATTTATACTGCATGGCATATAGAAAATATTTTTGTTATCATTTTTGTTATTATATTTGTCATCAAATTTAACAGGTGTCATGCAGCCTCCAGTAGTGAATTTATCACAGTTTTGTTTTTGTGGGTGTATTATTATGTTATTAAGGTTGTTCTTTTGTTTGTCATTAGCTATTAATGACGGGTTGATGTTTTACCTGACCCATGCAATCAGATCCTATATTTTCCTGCACTATAAAAAAAATCACCCTGTATACCTTGAATTTTTTTCATCTCATTTTCTCGTTAATTCAGGTAGAAACAGCGACACGCACATTCAATGGAGAACTGACTCACAAAATCGAAACTTCCGAATCAAATTCGACAATTTTGTCGTCAGTTTCTGACATCGGTATACTGGGCGATGTGAATTTGACCAGGGCCGAAGAGGTATTTTTGCAGCAGGCTCAACAAGGCATGTTTGGTTACCCTATACTGGACGATAAGTTTTTCGGCCAGCAAATGGACTTTTTGACAGGTGAGTTACACTGAGAAAAATGTTTTGACGGTTCCTCAAAATTGGCACACCACTGTAACTTTTTTGTTTCCACAGATAAACAAATGAAATTCGGTGTGTAAGTATAGTACATGAATACGCATTGATTGGCATATTCAATTGTTTTCTGTCACTTCTGGTTTGACCGGATATAACCCTAATTTTCTTATTTTAAATGGAACACCTGGTATATTTTCAACTATTTCGATAGAGAATCAAGTTGTCGAACCGGAAGCGTTAGAAAAAAATTAAATACGTAAAATAATGTATATACAGTGTGTCCCACTTATACCATGCTCACCATGGGTATCTTTTTAACGGTGAGAGATACGAGGTCGGTTAAATGACACCAAATGTGGAGTTTGACAAGGCCAACTATAATGTGAAAAAATATTTTGATAAAATCTATTCGTTTTTGTTTTATACGCAAAAAACAGATTTTGATCATTTTCATGTCTCCTCCATAACTTCTTTATTTGTGAAAATATTCAAATAGGAACTTCACATTCTCATGGCAGTTTTTCAAAGTGATTTCGAAAAAAATATGGAATTTATACCAACTCTTGTAGAATTTGAGATATCAGCACCAACTTTAGTTTTTCAAATGTATAGGTCATAGCTCACTATGACTCAGTTACAAATAACTTTTTTTTCTCTCACAGATGATATGTCGCAGTAATAGTTTTGTGTTGATAACAACGGACTTATCGTCATTTATACAAAAACAAAAAAATATTTGTAAGCCGCTATCTCGAATTTATAAATTTTAAAAAATTATGATCTCCGACCTCAAAAATCCCCACTCACCAATTTTGAATGGAATCGGACCAAATCTTGTCCGCAATCTTGGAGCAGCCATTTTATTTTAATTTCAACAAAAATTCCATAACTCCGATTAACTTGAAATTTGGCAGGTGTTCATAATTTTGGTGACAATACATATATACATACAGGACTTGTCCTGTATTACATCTCTTCATAAATAAATAAATAAATAAATTATGGAATTTTTGTTGAAATTAAAAAAATGGCTGCTCCAAGATGGCGGACAAGATTTGGTCCGATTCCATTCAAAATTGGTAAGTGGTTTTTGAGGTCGGAGATCATGATTTTTTTGTTAAAATTTATAAATTCAAGATGGCGGCTTCCAAATAATTTTTTGTTTTTGTATTAATGACGATAACTCCGTTGTTATCAACACAAAACTATTACTGCGACATATCATCTGAAAGAGAAAAAAAAGTTATTTGTAACCAAGTCATAGTGAGCTATGACCTACATTTGAAAAACTGAAGTTGGTGCTGATATCTCAAATTCTAGAAGAGTTGGTATAAATTTCATATTTTTTTCGAAATCACTTTGAGAAACTGCCAAGAGAATGTGAAATTCCTATTTGAATATTTTCACAAATAAAAAGTTACGGAGGAGACATAAAAATGATCAAAATCTGTTTTTTGCGTATAAAACAAAAACGAATAGATTTTATCGAAATATTTTTTCATATTATAGTTGGCCTTGACAAACTCCACATTTGGTGTCATTTAACCGACCTCGTATCTCTCACCGTTAAAAAGATACCCATGGTGAGTATGGTAAGTGGGACACACTGTATATGTAATATACTCACACATCGAATTTGATTTATTCATTTGTAGGAACAAAAAAATTATAGGGGTGAGCCACTTTTGAGAAATACCCGGTATATCATGGAATCTTTTAGAATTACCCGGTATAATATTCTGCGATTGTACAAGTGATTTATTGTTATTGCAGCGACTTCTAGCACATCGATGAACATTCTTGTTCCGTACTTCCAAACGACGTTGCCAAATCATCAGACGATATTGCAACATACGGCGCAAAACAATTTGCCAGTTCAATTGAACGATCTTAATCTTAGTTTTGTACTGGAATCTTGAATAATTGTGTTTGTGTGTGTGTGGGTGTGTTTGTATAGGTCGTAACTGTAATGAACTGTTTTGTCAATTTGTGAATCAAGAGTTTTTATGTTATTTTATGTCGGGGAAACGCGATTTTGGCCTAACTTATGTGGAACAGTTACAAGTTTTCACCCTGTATAGTAATGTTGAATTTTGTCCCAAGAAGTTCAAACCTGAAAAAAAGTAGTAAAGTGGGTTCCCAGGTTTTCCACCCTGTATGATATTCGATAAATGTCAACCCAATATTATTTTCATTTCAATAATAGGCGAGTAGACTGATTTTTTTATTTTTTAAATAGAATCATCACTCAAATATTTTTCAATTTTATATTTCTTTGGAATTTTTTGGTCGATTTTAAGGTGCCAAAATCATCAATAATACCACGGTAATTTTCAAACGGCTACAAATTTACCGCGAGTGAAAGTTGAAGCAGACTATAGCTCAGTTGCCATATGTTCAGATACGATTGGGGACTACTACAGTAGTTTTGAGCAAAAACTCAAAAACGTCCCGAGGTATGGTTGCTATTTATGAAATGCCCGAATAAAATATGAGCTTCGTGGTCTTCCGACAAAATGGGGGGGCGGAGAAATTTTTTTCAAAATGCACGAAACTTTGTTTCACCCTGTATCACGGGTCCTGATCAATTTAGAAGAAGCTGTAAGGAACGGTCCGAAAGACGATGAAAAAGGCATTCAGAATCTGGGCGGCAATTCAAAATTCGTTCAATATTTTAGAAATTACGAGAAGTCAAACTTGATGCCAAATTTCACTATCAACGTTTCAATTGACGCCCAGTTTATAATATCATTGGTTCCTCTTATCATGTTTTATTCAACGACAGGATTCTAACATCTTGATTATAATTGGTGACTTGGCAACCTCGCTTCATCAATTATGAACTGTTCAAACTCAAAAAAATCTTTTCAAATTGGTCAGTTTTCAGAATTCCCCCTGTAAAACATATGACGAATTTTGGTTCAGCCTTGCTTCATCTTCTGTGAGGTTTCTGAGGTTTTGCACTTTGTATAGCATACGGCAAATTTCAGCCTAACCTAACCTAACATAACCTCACTTTTTGCTTCTGTTGAACTTGTCCATGACTCACAATGTCTTCATTCCCAAGAAATCTAGCTGGATCAGTCCTCAGGTTTTTCACCCTGTATAGCACATAACTATTCATGCCAGATTTTACGGGGTAGGTTCATTGCAATTTCTTACCCTGTATAGCAGAATCAGTTAACCACACTTTCCACTATACAGGGTGTCCCACTTACCTTGCTCACCATGGGTATCTTTTGAACGGTGAGAGATACGAGGTCGGTTAAATGACACCAAATGTGGAGTTTGTCAAGGCCAACTATGATGTGAAAACATATTTTGATAAAATCTATTCGTTTTTGTTTTATACGCAAAAAACAAATTTTGATCATTTTCATGTCTCCTCCGTAACTTCTTTATTTATGAAAATATTCAAATAGGAATTTCACATTCTCATGGCAGTTTTTCAAAGTGATTTCGAAAAAAATATGGAATTTATACCAACTCTTCTAGAATTTGAGATATCAGCACCAACTTCAGTTTTTCAAATGTAGGTCATAGCTCACTATGACTTAGTTACAAATAACTTTTTTTTCTTTCACAGATGATATGTCGCAGTAATAGTTTTGTGTTGATAACAACGGAGTTATCGTCATTTACACAAAAACAAAAAATTATTTGGAAGCCGTCATCTTGAATTTATAAATTTTATCAAAAAATCATGATCTCCGACCTCAAAAACACCCACTTACCAATTTTAAATAGAATCGGAACAAATCTTGTCCGCCATCTTGGAGCAGCCATTTTTTTTTAATTTCAACAAAAATTCCATAATGTATTGTCACCACAATTATGAAAACCTGCCAAATTTCAAGTTAATCGGAGTTATGGAATTTTTGTTGAAATAAAAACAAATGGCTGCTCCAAGATGGCGGGCAAGATTTGGTCCGATTCCATTCAAAATTGGTAAGTGGGGGTCTTTGAGGTCGGAGATCATGATTTTTTTGTTAAAATTTATAAATTCAAGATGGCGGCTTCCAAATAATTTTTTGTTCTTGTATAAATGACGATAACTCCGTTGTCGAGTCCGTCGTTATCAACACAAAACTATTACTGCGACATATCATCTGAAAGAGAAAAAAAAGTTATTTGTAAGTAAGTCATAGTGAGCTATGACCTACATTTGAAAAACAAAAGTTGTTGCTGATATCTCAAATTCTAGAAGAGTTGGTATAAATTTCATATTTTTTTCGAAATCACTTTGAAAAACTGCCATGAGATTGTGAAATTTCTATTTGAATATTTTCATAAATAAAGAAGTTACGGAGGAGACATGAAAATGATCAAAATCTGTTTTTTGCGTATAAAACAAAAACGAATAGATTTTATCAAAATATTTTTTCACATTATAGTTGGCCTTGACAAACTACACATTTGGTGTCATTTAACCGACCTCGTATCTCTCACCGTTTAAAAGATACCCATGGTGAGCATGCTAAGTGGGACACACTGTATTGCAAAATGTTTCTCTACTACTCTACTATACAAGGTGAAACAATTGAAAGTACCGATTGTTGCGATTTCAATGCATTTTAATGAATAAACATGAGTTTCAAATAGACAAAACATGTTTTGGGCAAAAACAAATTATATTATTATATTGATTTCAAAAACATCGCTCTGTTGGTGTTAAAACGTAGGTTTGAACCTTGATATCCTTGAATTCACAGTATTCCATCACTATCATATTGTATGTTGTATTTTTTTATCCCAAGAAAAAATGTCTGATGTCAATTGATGTTTGTTGTGATTTTTTTATGTGCATATATACTGTTATATTTAGTTTTATAAATATACATTCCTTTAGTCATATGAAAAGTGTTTCTATTTCCACAGGAATGTCCATAGTGGATAGTGAAAAACTCTAAAAATCCTCTAATTTCCTTATGAGAAACATCAATAATCTTATTGAAAACGAATAATCCCAGATATTGTGTTGTTGTATTTACAGTGTCATTCATAAATTCGGCATCATATGGGAAAAACTTTTATTAATGACTTATTTTGAAATTCGAGTTGGACGTTAAGTTTTGCTTCAAAAAAGATGGAAAATGGCCTGCTCAAACGGGGTCACGTGACTTTCGCTACATGTCAAAAGTTACATTTCTTCAAATTAATCGCTGAAAGTAGGCTTATTTGTTTGAATATCGAAAAAGTTTACTTGAAAAAATTGTTTCTATTTGAATTTTACATATGTGACTCGGATTTCATCTTTCTATTACATTTTTTAGATTTCGATATTTTCTTGAAATTTTCGAAATTTCTGTAATATTAAAAAAATTGTTAATTCGATAAAACCACTTCATACCAGTAGTTTCATCATGCTACTAAATTTCAATTACTAATTATCACTAATTATCGACAAAAATATGATTTTCTTCAGAAAATGATAATCTCCGCTTCAAAATTCAGTTATGTTTGATGCAAACATAACATCAAAATTCTGTTATGTTTGAATCGAGCATTTAGAAACGAAATTCATTTGAATTCATTTTTCCAGTACTGAAAAGATCAGTTTAAATGAATTTCGTTTCTAAATGCTTGACGATATATCAACTTTGCATCAAACATAACAGAATTTGGAAGGGGGTATTATCATTTTCTGAAGAAAATCATATTTCTGTCCATAATCAGTGATAATAAGTAATTGAAAGTAAGTAGCGTGAAAAAGCTACTGGTTTGAAGTAGTTTCGTGGAATTAACAATTCTCCAAATATTACAGAAATTTCGAAAAATTAAAAAAAAAATCCAAATCTAAAAGTTGCAATAGAAAGATAAAATCCGAGTTACATATGTAAAATTCGAATAGAAACAACTTTTTCAAGTTAACTTTTTCGATATTCCAACAAATAACCCTACTTTCAGCGATTAATTTGAAAAAATGTCACTTTTAACATGTAACGAAAGTCACGTGACCCTGATTGAGTAGGCCATTTTTCATCTTTTTTGAAGCAAAACTTAACGTCCAACTCGAATTCCAAAATAAGTCATTAATAAAGGTCTTTCCCATATGATGCCGACTTCATGAATGACACTGTATACAAGGTGTTTTTGAAATAACTGCACATATTCAGCATATTAATATGATACAGTCTAAGGGATATTCCCATGATATCAGATTTTGTTCAATTCTTCTAAATAACGAGGAATTTCATCCCAAAAATTGAACAAATTACGAGAAAAAAATCGAGTACACCACTTTAAAACCATTTAAATGATTTGAACAGATAGGTGACGTCAGATTTGCTACAGTGTAGAACTTTGGGTGAACGAAAGGGTCTAACCTCAAATTTTATTCTGATCCCTAAATTTTCTTATTAGTGCCATTCGATAGTACATGTCGAGCTTTCTCAGTGTTTGAAATATTTGCACACAAAGAAATACATTGAGAATTCGCATTGTGATGAAAATATCAATTCTTCCTCGGTTTATTCAACCGAAAACAACTACTTTCCTGGCTATATGCCATGACGAATATTGAATTACATCTATTGAACATGCACTACAAGAATCTGAACTAGAGAATTTGCATTCTTCATATAAAAAAAATAATAAACTTCATTTTTGTGATGTGAAATTTTGTATAATCCAACAGCAATTCCATTTACATTCACATCGTGAAAATTTGATGCATCACTTTCACACAATTTCACTTTGAAACCATCAAATATAGTTGCCCCTTGTATACAAAACTCCTCTCCCATTGACGGCTTGCAGTGGCCTGTAATTTTGCACAAGTCGTTTGTCATCTTCCGTGTAGATGTCACTCAATTTTTCGAGCTGAAAAATTAAACAGGATGATTCATTTAGAATGGGAAATCTCTGAACTACAGATAGTATGCACAAAAATAATGAGATTTAGCCCAATATGCCTGATGAGAAATTGCTGGTTCAGGAGATACAGGGTGTTCTGGGGGGAGACTTTATTCCAAAATTTCACAATAACTTTGTTAGTTTTAACAGCATGAACATGAAATCTTGTGTTTCTAGGTTTTCTGATATGAAGAATATGAATTTGCAACTTATTTTATGATTGCGCTTCAACAGTTTTTATGTTATATTCATTTTATACAATGTCATAAAAGGCTATTTCTTTATGTACAGGGTGATTCACCATAAATGTCCCCCCCTCTAGCTCAGTTATTTTTGAACCGATTTTAGAATTTGAAATATCATCTTGAATGATTTTCGATTAAGTTTTTTTCCGCTAGATCAGAAAATACAGGGTGCTCGGAACAAACGATCTACAGGGTACCATTTGAGTTTTTTAAATGAATCACCCTATTTTTCATTGTATTTTTAGATTCTCCCTGAAGAGCTGATGTGATCAATGTATCACACTTGGGGTCTAGCGGTACTGATTACAGAGATATAGGGTGTTCAAAATCGAGATTTTTAACTATAGAATTTTTTTGTGACGAAACTATCCATTATCGGTCACGTGGTTTCCATGTCCGTATCTTAACTTTTGATTTACTATCTACTGACATTTAATAACTGGAACAGATACAGGGTGACCAGAATTCTGAATCTTGAACCACCCTGTAAATGTTCCAATTAAATTTCACTAGATAGTAAATCAAAAGTTGAGATGGAAACATAGGAGCCGTTTCGACCAATAATGAATAGTTTCGGCACAAAAAAAGTTGGAAAATCTCGATGTTAAACACCCTATATCTCTGTAATCATTCCCGCTAAACCCCAAGTGTGATACATTGATGAAATCAGCTCGTTAGGAAGAATCTAAAAATACAGGGTGTTCCATTTAAAAAATCAATTAGTACTCTGTAGATCGTTTGTCTCGAGCACCCTGTATTTTCTGATGCAACGGGGAAAAAATGTCTTGAAAATCATTTTAGATTATGTTTCAAATTTTTAAAACGGTTCAAAAATAAGTGAGCTAGAGGGGGGACATTTATGGTGAATCACCCTGTACAAAAATGATTCTCTTGTTGATACTCTATAGAACGCTTCGTTTTCGAGAAAAAACGGAAAAACGATCGAGACCAGACTTCAAATTTTGATGTCTGAGTACTCCATTCTAGGACATCCATTACTGGATCACCACAGTATTTAACATTTTTAAATTTGTATACCGATTCAGTCACATAGCAGACTAAATTTTGCCATCACGAATAGCTATATATACAGGGTGGAAAAAAATAATCTATGCATATTTTCAATATTGACACCCTGTATCTCAAAACTTGGGACGTTTACAACATATACGTCGTTTATATGAAGTTTTGTTCTTAAAATTGGTCGAAGAATCGGCCCCTTGAATATTAGCATATCATTGAGAAACACCCTGTATAACCATCTTTATGTCCTTCAAAGAGGTCATTCTCTGGCATCATTTGAAAATTTCGACGTTGTTTTCATACCTCCCATACGTCATTCTAGTGATTTTGATACGTCATTTCAGTGAATCTGATGCGTCATTTTAGTACCTCTCGTACGTCATTTTAGTATGGCAATTAAATCATTGCCTAAGACTCACTTGGCTTTCTTCGATTTCTGCTGGTTGGCTGTACACTATCCACGTGACAACTTCGTTGCAATTGGGAGTTGTGAGGGAGCCTTGGTAGGCGAAAAAATTGTCGAGGTTTTCCGGAAGTAAGGATTCCGGACTGATTTTGGCATCCAGCTGAACCGGTTGGTTGACTCTGTGAGCGACATCATCGACAGTTCTGGTTATGACGTCAAAAACGTCATTTGAGATTTCGCTCAGCTGGAAAACATAAAAGAACATCGGCGTCTTCGATATACAATCGAACTTCAAGAGCTACAAAGAGGGTTGAATGGAAGCAACGTTGCGCAATTTCATGACTAACAAAATGTCGTTATGACATTGAAAAATCCGGAATAGGTACAGTCTGTATAATATTTCTTTGCGCGTACGTCACCATTTCAAAAAACGAATCAAGGTCATATTTTTCAGTGTAGCATTGCTGGTGCTATTTCAGGAGTTGGGTTAGAATAAATAATAATGATATTCAGAATATTTTTATTCACTACTCCAGGTAATTTTGAGTAAGAAACAGTTTCAATACCATATTCTGTGGTTGTGGAATCTGAATTATATCATATGTTCAGAATTCTGAAACACATATTGCCTCAGATTGACTCATAAGATACATTTCATTGCAGTTCAGTATTGCCTTTTCGAAGCTCCCAAATCCTCAGAACATATTCATTTCATACAGACTCATTAGATACATTTCAGATTAAACATGTATTGTCTAATCGAAACTCGTGAATCCTTATAGAGAAATTCCTCATAAAACCACTCAATATACCATTTCAGTCATATAATTGTCTATCCTCATCAACTCTTATGAATTCTAGCCACAGATGGACTCATAGGTTGTTTCATTTCAGATCAGTATTGTCCTTTCAAAACTCTCAAATGCACATAACATACACATCTCATACAATCTTATTTGATACCATTCAGATTAGGTATGTATTGTCTCATCTAAACTCGTGAGTCCTCTTACAAAAATAACGCATAAAACATACCATACGAATAAAGTCATAACTGTACATCCTTATCAATGCTCATTAATTATGAAACACATCTGGCCTCAGCTTGACTCATAGAGATACGTTTCATTTTAGATCAGTATTGTCTTTCAAGAATTCTCGAATCCCAGAGCATATATATCACATAAAATCTCATTAGCAACCAATAAAATCTGGGTTGAAATTCTTTATTGAATATAATGAATTATCGAACACTCCTACCCTTACAAAAACCCGTGAAATACGTACGTTAAATATTATATATGTATTGTCTCATCGGAACTCTTGAATCCTGAAAAATTATAACCCGCATACAATCTGATAAGAAACTCCTAATTTTGATACCGTGTTTTCATATTTGAATTCACAAAACTTCGAACTAGTTCAGTCTTATTAAATCTCATTGGAGATATTTCAGATCAGGCATGCATCATGTTATTGAAACTTGTGAAATCTTAGTTAGTCTGAGTCACATATGAATGCTCATAGGAATCACATAAAATTATATGAGGAATTCCTTAGCGAAACATTCACATACTGAACTTTTTTTTTCCTGACAATACCCAATAGAATTGTATTTATGAATTCCAACACATTTCTTATACATTCTAAGGCTTATGAATGCTCATAGACTACTCTTTTAATTAAAAGTGGGATATCTTATTGAATCTCATATTCTTCTCCTCAAACCACCAGTGCCTGATACAAACTCTAATTCTCCATATTTGTATACACTGGTAAATTACATATACCTACTCATTAATTACCATCAATCTTTTCAGAAACGCTAACGCTAACAGAACTCGCTTATAGATCCTTATTGATACTCATATTTTTTTATGAGACTTAATGAGTAATTTTTGGCAGAGTACCCATATGTCTATAGCGTATAGTGAAATAGAAAAATTGACACGAGACTGACTGATGTGAACTGTATGCTTGACCGATGACTCGGAGATGATGACTATCACCGACCGACGAAGTGACGAACTGTCTTTTCATAAGAAGAATCTATTTAACATTATAAAGGTTCGTCGGACAGCTGATCAATTTTGTGTTTCATTTCTGAGTTCTTCTTTCAGAATTCTAAGAGTGATGTGCTTTTCTGTGAAACAGTCAGTTGAAGGTAGTCAAGAAGTATGAAATGAAATAACTTCCTTTCTGCATACGTAGTATAGACATTGCGTACTTCTATTTTCAAATCATCATCCAGAAGCACAAAATGTTGATTCTCGTTAAATTCGCGAGATCTCGCCCATTTTTCGACCGACATCATCTCGCTATAAAAGGCCGCGAGAACGAGATTGCATTCCCTAGAACGTTTTTAGTTATCCTCACCTCATAAAGTACTGCCAACACAACAACGCCATCTCCAAAATTCAAGGCGTTAGTCAAATTACCAGCTTCAGTCTTATAATGAACGAAATGCGCCTCTAGGGGGTACCTGAAAATAGTTTTTCATGTACCAAGGACTGAAATCTAACCGAGGCCTCAGCCGAGGCTTGCAATCAGGCGAGACGATGGATAGTTTTCCGCCAAGGTGCATTTTATATTTTTTCGTCGACCTCAAACACATTTCCAAATTACGGACCTATTCACACGTGAAATCTACCGGATTTCGTACTATCTACTGACATTTAATTGAAACAAAAACGATGGTTCAAGATTCATAATTCTGATCACCCTCTGTATCTGTACCAATTAAATGTCAGTAGATAATAATATAGTAAATCGGAAGTGAAGAAAGGAAAATTGGAGTGGTTTGGATCGCTAATGAATAGTTCAAACACAAAAAATCCTAAAGTTGAATAATCAAGATTTTCAGCACCTTCATGAAATCAGCTCTTCAAGAAGAATCTGAAAATCTAACAAGGTGTTTCATTCATAATAATGAAAAATCGGGAATAACTGAGAGTGTCTAGATGTTCCTTGTTCGTTTAGATCTTATGACTGTTTTGATATTACATTGACTTGTATATGAGCCATTGCTAAATAAATTATTGAATAAAAAAATTGGCTATAAAATGTTCAAATTCGCCACGTTTTGAGATCACACTGTAAATAAATTATCGAACAACAGGTTACCTAGATATTCACCTGTTTCCATACACATCAGCGACCCTGAATATCTGAAATCAGAAGAAAGAGCTCTACTGATTTGAAAAATAGAATACTGGGTGTTCCATTTAAAAAATACAAGTTCATGTCAAATTTTCAGATTAACCATTCTATTTGTATTTTCTAGTACATACTAGATTTTGGATGCCCATAAAAAATACGTCATTTTTACACATTCGAATGTTTCTGTAGAGATAGAGCTATTGCATGAGTAAATTATAAACAATCACTTGCCCTCAAAAATGGTCGATTTTTCGTGAAATGTAATCTTTTGTAGAGGTCGACGCAAAAAAATTCCGTATTGAATTAATTTTCAATTTATCTATATACTAGTTGATACCTTCGATTGTTTATGGTGTGCTCAGCTGCCCAATGAAAATGGATATTGTGTAGCGTATAGTCACTCTGTATAACGCTGCCTCTTATTGAAGGTTTATCGCAACACTCATTGTCAAACTTCAAAGCCACTGAAAAGAACAAAATTAAAAAACTCTCACAGTATTCAAGAGGAATTTTCAGTTATTTTTCACTATTATTAGTTACTTTTCAACATATCAGCAGGACGAGAACAAAGGCATTATATAACTTTCCACGTTTAATACAGTGGCGTACTCATTTTATTTCTATAATTGCTAATTTTTAGAAAAGGGAGGCAAGACTTTTCTTTTCGAAAATAAAATTCCAAATATTTTGTATTTTTGATGAGCTATAGGAGGTCTCATTCGAACTGGTCAGAAATATACAGGGTGTCTCATTTGAAGAAAACATATTTTGGCTTCATTCTCTAATAATGAAATATAGAGGGTGTTCCATTTGAAAGAAAATATTTTGGCTTCATTTTCTAATAATGAGGAATCACGAAAATAAAATAAGTACGCCACTGTATTATACTTACAAAGTTATATAATGCTTAGTTCTCATCCTGCCAATGAGTTGAAAAGTAACCAAGATACGGGAGGTGCTCAAAAAGTGAGAATCTTCAACTCTGCCCTGTATCTCGGATATCACGGGCAAAAATGAATTGTTGAATCAAGCAAAATTCAATAGAATGATCAATAGAATGAAGCAAATAAAAGTGTCATATACAGCGTGTCTAATTTCAAACGGCCCCCCCTCTATATCTCAGCTATCAGTCGTGCGATCTTTACCAAATTTGTATCGGTATGAATAATCATCAATATGACCAGAACTTCAGGAACAAACATCATTTTAGACAGTGCCGTGCATTTTTATTGAAATGAATAGGGGTCAGTTTTTTATTAAATCATATTAGGCATTTTTCCACAGAAAAACTGACCTCATTCTTCATGGTTTCAAACTCACATATGTGGATTTTCATAAGATGCCTATATATGAAGGGTTCCAGAAAAACAGGCACATCCAAACAGTATCTTTGTGAATAACGTAATAATTATTTACTCGGAAACGGTTCAACGTAAAAAAGTATAACCCGTGTTCCCTTCCAAATCATGATTTTCCGCCTACCGGAGCCATTGAACGTTCCAAAATTCGTAGTTGATTTGAAGTCACGAGACTGAAAATGAAAAAAATGAAGCCAGTCCTGTTAATTCGGAATTATGTGATTTTTTGCATATGGAAGTTCGGGAGCATGAGGAACAATAATATGGCCTTAGATTTTCTGTAAAAAAATGCCTAATATGATTTTATGAAAAATCGACCCCTTTTTATTTCAATAAAAACGCACGGCACTGTCCAAAATAAATGTGCACCTTTATAAAACTGATCATATTGATGATTATCCATACCACACCAAATTTGGTTGAAATCGCATGATCAATAATTGAGATATAAAGGGAGGCCGTTTAAAGTGAGACACGCTGTATGCACGACAAAATATAATCTTGGAATGAGTAAATCTATATCTTGTTTCAGAGTGAATTTATATGGTTTGAATTAAGTTAATATGTCTTGCATGAACTCTGGATCTTATTTATTCAAGCAAATCCATGAATTGTTTATGAAGAGATATGGACTTTGCTCAATTATTTTGTATGATTCAAAATAACAAGATATTGATTCAATCAAATATTTGGTTGATTCAATGATTTATTTGGTTGATTCAATGCCAGGTAGCCGTGCGAATGAAATATTTTGTTAATTCAATGAAATATTTTGTTGATTCAAGAGAAACAATATTTGCATTCGACCAATTATTTTGTTGAACCTCTGAAATTTCACATAAATAGAACTAACTAAACTAGGAAACTACTGAAACTAGTCGACTTCTAGCATAGATCTCCAGTTTTTACGTCTCTTCAGGCTTCACCTATATAATGAATTCGAGGCAGGCATAGACGAGGCGAAATGATCTCCATCTAGAGGCGAAAATTTAACTTGATGTAGAATGAACAAAATATTTCATTGATATTACATATTACTTGTATGTTGTTTCATCAAAATGTTTATAGTTGATTCAAAATCGACATTATTTTGGATCGACTTAATTTGTTTTTGAGAAAACCATATATATTTTGTTGTTGGAATTGATATTATAGGTCCTACTGTTGATTCAATTAGACTTCATTCTTGATTTGAACAAGCTGCTTTCATGAAATAATCATGTATCTGGTTGATTCAACAAAACATTGCTTAGTACAACAAAATAATTCATGCATAAATAATTTGTTGATGCAACAAATCCTTTTTTCCGTGTACGCAGCAATTTCGGACTGACAGGTAAGTTGCTCTAAATCGACTTATTTTGACCTCAGGATCCTGTTCTGAGATTTTTAGGGACACCCTGTTGTTGAATAATGTCTAAATGTGGCGCCGTTTTTATTTATTTTGCGTATTCGACAGCCAAGTAGCACACATATATTGGGACAATAGCGGTGTAATATTACAAAAATATTGGCAAAATATTGTGAACGTAATATTGGCAAGAAACAAAATTTGAACATTCAGCGATATTGGTGCAATATTAATTTCGAAATGTGAGTGGAATATTGAATATTTCTACACTTATGTTGGTTGTCATTGTACCGACATTGGTGAAACAATATTATCTAATATTTAAATATACAGGGTGGGCCACCAGTAACGCCTCGGTCTCTAGAAAGCTAACCACTTATCTTCTTGGAATTCTTCCTTTCTAGGAAGTTGCATGTCAACATGGGCTACCATTTAAAATTATTTCGAAACATACAGGGTGTCCCCAAAAACCATAAAACACTGAAGTTAAACTTTTTTCTATCGAACACCCTATATATCATTTCATTTTGAGATTCTCCCTGATGAGCTGATTTCAACGACCCATCATACTTGGGGTCTAGCAGTTATAATTACTGAAATATAGGGTGTGAAAAATCGAGATTTTCCAAGATCAAGAATTTTTTGTGTCGAAACTATTCATAATTGGTCAAAACGGCTCACATGTCCCTATCTCAACTTTTGATTAACTATCTACTGATATTCAATTGGGACATATACCGGGTGATCAAGATTCTGAATTCTGCACCACCCTGTATGTGTTTCAATTGAATTTCAGTAGATAGTTGATCAAAAGTTGAGATAGGGACATGTGAGCCGTTTTGACCAATTATGAATGGTTTAGACACAAAAAATTCTTCAACTTGGAAAATCTCGATTTCTCACACCCTATAATCTCAGTAATTATAACTGCTAGACCACAAGTATGATGGATTGTTGAAATCAGCTCACCAGGGAGAATCTCAAAATGAAATAATATATGGGGTGTTCGATTGGAAATAGTTCAACTTCAGTGTTTCATGGTTTTTGGGGACACCCTGTATGTTTCGAAATAATTTTAAATGGTAGCCTATGTTGACATGCAACTTCCTAGAAAGGAAGAATTCCAAGAAGATAAGTGGTTAGCCTTCTAGAGACCGAGGCGTTACTGGTGGCCCACCCTGTATATGTTTTTTCACATATTGTAAACGACGACTTTTCCAAATAATATTGCTCCAATATTGTAGCTGACAATCCACATTTACCTCAGGTTGAACCAACATTCCACGCATATTATCATTCCAATATTGAATTTGCAATATACTCTCATATTGGACCAATATTATTTCTACATTCACAATTTATCGACTTATATCGGCTCAATGTTAAATCAGGATTCTGTCAATTTGATGAGCTATTTGGGCACTGTTATTGTTGCCAACCGTTACAACCCAACAATGAACAAATGAAAAATCTCATCTTGTTTTGAGGTTAAGAGAAGTCTGAAAAAATACTCACGTGTATATCCCTCGTTTTCGATCACCGCTACAAAATCCCTGTCATAATTGACATATTCTATGGGCCGCATCATTTCCATAATGGTATTTTTGAAATTGATGTTTATGGGTGATTGCCTGTTTCCTCTTTGACATTCTCCAGGCCATTCATCTGAAGAAGTTACATTTTTGCGTTTAAATTTGAAAGTGGCCTCTGAGAACTTTTTTGATCCATCCCGTACTTTTGATTGGGGACATATTATATCTTCGATCTATCAACGCTCGTTCATTCAACTCTAATAATAATATTTCTGGTATCGACTTGAATAAGCCAAAATAATCTAACTATACCGGGTGTCAACGTATTTATATATTAGACAAGTCATAGTTTCCCGAGTTTTGAAGGTATGATATTCAAACTTCTGAGGAGTGCTGGATACAATAATTGTAAAATTTTTCGATATTTCATACTCCCCTATCACTTATACGGTTTCACCAAAGAAGAACTTTCATTTTCAAATCGGACGGACAACCTATATTTTATTCGATAATCAGTTATGTTCTGTATATTCGAGATATTTGGTATTGGTATTGGTAGGTTGGATGGTGACCGATGCGCTGCGACCTAATTAGATTTATTGTGCCCCATCTGCTCCTGCTATATCAAGGGTTTCCTGTTCATAGCAGCCCCTCGAGATTCAATTCCTTCAGGAATTTGAGGATTTTGAGGGGGTCTAGCTGTGTTATTTCTTCCACAGTCAACTGGTGTGTTCCCAGTATGTTCAATCTTTTGTGATGTACAGCGTCACACTCCATCAGTATGTGATAGGGTGTTTCTGGTTCTTCCCCACAGAATCTGCAGGTGCCGTCCTCCTGTAAGCCTAGCCTCCTTAGGTGTTCTTTGAGTCTGCAATGCCCCGTTAGAAATCCCGTTATTGCTTTGAGACTTCCTTTGCTGAGGTTTGTCAGTGTCTTAGATCTTTCTCGGTTGAAATTTCCAAAATAGGAATTTCCAAGGCCGCAGAATGGCTCTGGTCCGATTAGTGGCGTTGAAGCCCCTTTCGTGCCAGAGCGTCTGCTCGTTCATTCCCCTCCACTCCGATGTGCCCTGGCACCCAGAGGAGGATAACTTTATTGTTGCTGCCTTGCTCATTCAATTTGCTTAGGCATTCCCATACCATCTTCGAGTTGATGTAGGGAGAGCTCAACGCTTTGATGGCTGCTTGGCTATCGGAAAAAATCGCGATGTCCTTCTTCCGGTATTTCCTGTCTAGGTTGAACTGGATGCATCTTTCTATGGCGTGTATTTCCGCTTGAAAAATGCTGGGGAATTGTCCCATGGATTCGAAGTATTTGGTGCGAGGCCCAAAGACTCCTGCTCCAGTTCCCTCGGGTGTTTTAGACCCGTCCGTATACCAAGTAATGGTGTTCCTTCCCAGTGATTCGATGGATTCTGTGCTCCATTCGCGCTTGTTGCTCAGCTCCACTCGGAAGTTCTTCTCAAAACTGAACTTTTTGATGATTTGATCTGTTGGAAGATCGGCGAGGTGTGCGATCTCAGTGGGGGGTGAACCCCTTACACTGTGCGTTATATTCGAGATGATTCTGTTCATCAGTTGAAAATGCAATACATAATTCAGAGAAGATATTCATAACAGATCGAGTGATATTTTGCTAGACTATTTCACGTTCACGAAGCATAGAAAGAATTTATTATGATTGAGCGATTCATTCTCACAAGAACATCTATAATCATTTTATGCCAAACTGACAGCTTTTCGCTTCGCTATCCATGGTTACATCGTTGACCAATCAGAATTGATGAAAGACAGCTAGTGATGACTGAAATAGTCAAAAATGAAGTGAAAAAACTGATTATTCCTAAACGAATTGCATAAAATATCATGCCTAACAAAATGAAAATTGCAAAGGTATGGCCAATGAAAAAATCTGGTAAGAAAGACGATCTGAATAATAATTATACTGGCCAAGATCTGTCCATCCAGTTATTTCTAAAATTATTGAAAAAATCATGAATAATCGGCAATATGGATTCCGTAGGTCGAAGAGATAGATGTAATTCCGGACATCCAGTCACGGATAGATGAAAATAATAAATTTGGCTTCTTGTCCTCAGATCTATTCGAAGCATTTGACACTGTAGATCATACCATTTTACTTAATAAATTATATTCGATAATTCATGAGTGGTTCACGAATTATTTGACAAATAGAAACAGTATGTTGAAGTGCATGATACTTGTAGCTCACTTATGAATATCACATGTGGAGTACCGCAAGGATCAGTTTTGGGACCAATTTTATTTTTAATGTATATAAATTCAATATTAAGTCTGAAATTGGAAGGAAAGCTCAAATTGTTCGCAGATGATACAACATTGATTCATGTATCGAAAGAATTAAAAATGATATCTAACATGATATTAAAAGTGGTTTGGAAAACATGGATGCAAATTCATAAGTTGACTCTCAATATGTTTTCCACTGAGCGGAATTCATTATAGTTAACCTATCAATATTATTATTTTTTATACAGGGTGTCCGCTAAAAGGAGGTCAATCCATTAACCATATAGAAAGTCATTAGCGCACGTACAAAAAAAATGGGGGTAAGTGTGTAATTGACCCCCAGTATTTCGAATATTTGACAGTTATTTTCTGTTTTGCTCTCCTCACACGATGTAACTCTTTGTGCTGAAGTAATGTACCCATTTCGAGATCAACATCTTATTAAATACGCGAGTAATTAAAAAAAAACAGGTTTTAATTTCCAACTTTGACACCCTCTGTATATCGAATATGAAGGGCTAAAATGAAAAATGGTATTTAGAAACTCATATTGTTTTTGTTCAAGGAATATATGGTTAATGGATAGACCTCCTTTTAGCGGACACCCATGTATTCATGCATCTCTATCATAAACTGATATGTTTCTTGGGGTAACCAGAACGATAAATAATGTTGTTTCAATATGCTCTCTCTTCATTTGCCAATTCATTGTTGATGATGTATTTCGTATTATGAAATGTTTATCTATAGGTATATACTTATTATGTACTTTCTCATACCAGATCCTAGTCTGTCTGGAAGTTATTTGTTCGCTGAATAAATAAATGAATAAATAAACAAATAAATGAAGAAATAAATTCAACGATGCCGAGTGCGATAGACTTATTTCAAACGGTTACGAATATATTTGAGTTCGAAATTTCGTCTCAATGGGTGTGACGTCGCAATATCGAAACTCTTTTTCCCTGTTACATTCATTGAGCATATAATTTGGCAATCTCGTTCGCGATTATCTTGGTGATCGTCATAAATAACCCTATCGAATCCGGTATCGTTCAATTCGTTCGTTCGATAATCCTTAACCGAGTATGGAATAAAATAAAGGGTGTCTATTCGACAATAAAGAGGTGGAGTAGTATACGGTGAAACCAGAAGTGATGGGAGAGTCTGGAATATTGGGAATTTTTCTTCCAAATTTGAATCTCATACCTATGGAACTCTGGAAATCATGGCTTGTCTAAAAATTTCTTTGATTCCCTAAAATGTCTCTCCCTGATTGAGAAATTAATGAAAAAATTGAACACGAACACTTACCAGGTCTAGAGTAGCTCCAGTTTTGGGCTGAAACGATTTCTGAAAATAAAAGGTAGGTCCTCGTTTATATAACACTCCTATGAAATTTCGATAAATAAAATCATTTGTAAATCGATGAAAATTCATTAAAATTCTAGAAAACACACATCAAATTTTCAATGAATATAGAATAAGTGTCATTTATTCACGGAGGAGAAAAATGTTTACATCAACAAATATTTCGTGAATTTTACAAAATATGAATGTCTAAATGACACGAAAGAATAAAATGCATAAAATTTATTAAAAAGCTTACATAATCTTGAGAAAATTCAGTTGGATGATAAGCCAATGAAATTTCATGTTATGGTATATTTCTGTCAAATTTTTCTCAATATTATTTAATAGACAAAATGCATACGGTTGATTGTTGATACAAATTGAGTAAAATTTCGCTCAAGTCAGCAAATATTCCAATCAAAATATCTTGTCTCTCCGAATAACTCGCTCATCTCGAATAAGTATACAAGGTGTTTTTGAAATAAGTGCACATATTCAGCCCATTGATATGAAACAGTCTGAGGAATATTCCCATGATATCAGATTTCTTCTAATTCTTCCAATTATCGAGAAATTCCATCCCAGAAATTGAACAAAATACGAGAAAAAAATTGAGTACGCCACTTTAAAACAATTCAAATGATTGAACTCCGCGTGATTGTGCATACCGCATGGAAATTTCAACAAAGGTGACGTCAGATTTGCTACAGTGTAGGAAAAAAGGGTCTAACCTCAAATTTTATTTTAATTCCTAAATTTGTTTCATTAGTGCCATTCGATAGTACACGTCGAACTTTCTCAGAGTTTGAAATATTTGCACTTATTTCAATGCCACCCTGTATATACTGTTGATTTTGCAAGAGGGTAAGTATTCACTATTGAACATATTAATTTTCGTGGTGCAACAAAACTTTTTTCTACGTGTACCTATAAGAGAATACCTTTATTTCTGTTGTTTATTCCTGGGACACCTAATAATAAAACTTTAACCAAATGGTTACGCAAAATATAAGACAAAATATTTCTCAAACGAATCCGAGACATTGCACTGTTAGATGTAAGTGGAAACTTTTATAGACACTTAATTTTCTGGTGATTTGGATACCTTCTTACTCTATTTGATTGCGTGGGCAAAGTAAGCAATTATAAAAAAAATACTTACTGTTCAAAAAAATAATCGAAATAATACCATAAAATTTCATTGTGTAGCAGTAAAAGTAAAAACAGGCATAGAACATTGTGAACCTTATGTTATGAATTTATATCAAGTCAGTTATCTTTGGCTGTGCTTTTTAGAAAAAATAACATCACGTTAACTTGATAATACTAGTAAGTAGAGTCCTAGAAAACGGAAATAGTAATTATATTACGACACATTCATTTCCACTAAGCATATACAGAGAGTCGCACTGAACCTGGGAAAAATCCAGACTTCTGTATAATCTTTTGAATCTCGACAAAATGAGATAAGAATACTCTGTCTGTAGGTTAATCGAGGAGGATATGAATACTATTTCAATAAACTTACGTGTAGTGAGGACAAATCAGATGATTTGCCCCAAAATGTCACTGCGTTTAAAGAATGTTCCTATCAGAGAGTCTAAAAGAAAATTCACCAGCTTGTCGGTGACAATTTGAATAGAAAAAGGTTTGGAGAAGAGCATTAAAGGATTATAGTGAAAATGTGAAATTTTCACTTACCTCTGGACACGTATCGGGACGAATCTGCTCCCGTTTTCAACATAAAAAATTGATTTTCTCTGTTCTGTTCTCACTGGGAACTATGAAGTGTCAAAAAAATACGAATTTGCCATACGAAAAATCCATTTTTGATGTTGAAAACGGAAGCAGATTCGTTCCCCAAACATCCAAGGCATAAGTGAAAATTTTATATTTTTACTATATACCTTCATCATTCTTCATTAAAGAAAGTGCAAAGATTGGCATGTCTTTACATAACAGGAGCAATGATATCAGCTCCAACAGCAGCACTAGAGGTCATTTTGGATCTCACACCTCTACACATCGTGGTGAGGAGAACTGCCTATGGAGCACATCTCAGGTTAGCCGAGGTCGGACTAAGATGGGCTCACCCCCACTGAGATCGCACACCTCGCCGATTTACCAACAGACCAAATCATTACGAAGTTCAGTTTTGAGAAGAACTTCCGAGTGAAGCTGAGCAACAAGCGCGAATGGAGCATAGAATCCATCGAATCACTGGGAAGAAACACTATCACTTGGTATACGGACGGGTCTAAAACACCCGAGGGAACTGGAGCAGGAGTCTTTGGGCCTCGCACCAAATACTTCGAACCCATGGGACGATTCCTCAGCATTTTCCAAGCGGAAATACACGCCATAGAAAGATGCATCCAGTTCAACCTAGACAGGAAATACCGAAAGAAAGACATCGCGATTTCATCCGATAGCCAAGCAGCTATCAAAGCGTTGAGCTCTCCTTACATCAACTCGAAGATGGTATGGGAATGCCTAAGCAAATTGAATGAGCTAGGCAGCGTCAATAAAGTGATCCTCCTCTGGGTGCCAGGGCATATTGGAGCGGAGGGGAATGAACAAGCAGACGCTCTGGCACGACAAGGGGCTTCAACGCCACTGATCGGACCAGAGCCATTCTGCGGCCTTGGAAATTCCTATTTCCATGGAGAACTTGAGAAGGCGGAAGGAGCCTGGAGAGCCAGACAATGGAGAAGACTTCCCAGGACTACGGCAGGCTAAAGATCTCCTTGGAAATTTCAACCGAGAAAGATCTAAGACACTGACAAACCTCAGCAAAGGAAGCCTCAAAGCAATAACGGGATTTCTAACGGGGCATTGCAGACTCAAAGAACACCTAAGGAAGCTAGGCTTACAGAAGGACGGCACCTGCAGATTCTGTGGGGAAGAACCAGAAACACCCCATCACATACTGATGGAGTGTGACGCTGTACATCACAAAAGATTGAACATACTGGGAACACACCAGCTGACTGTGGAAGAAATACCACAGCTAGACCCCCTCAAAATCCTCAAATTCCTGAAGGAATGGAATCTCGAGGGGCTGCTATGAACAAGAAATCCTTGATATAGCAGGAGCAGATGGGGCACAATAGATCTAATTAAGTCGCAGCGCATCTGTCACCATCCAACCTACCAATACCAATACCAATGAATACCTTCATTTCTCTTCTTCAAACTTTTTTCAATACAAATTGTCACTGACAAGCTAGTGAATTTTTTTTTTCATGAGGCTCTCTGATAGGAAAATGCTGTAGACGCAGTGACATTTTGGGGCAAATCATCTGATTTGTCCTCACTACACGTATATTGAAACAGTTTTCATATTTTCATTCCATAGGGACGAGTAGAAAAAATACCTAAAAAATCTGGGATAAAAAATGAGAATATTTCAATTTTAGTTCATTCAAAGCCAGGTTAGGTTTGTGACTGTAGTTTATAGCATTTGCTTATCTAGTATAACCTTGTGTAGATACCTGAAATCGGAGTTTGTTCTTGTTCATATCTGATTCCAACAGTGGACAGTGGTCAATTTCAACTTTCCTGAAAACTAGGTTACTGACGTAGAAAAGTCTCTATTGGAAAAATAATATCTATAAAATAAAACGATCATATATTGCACGTATATCATGTTCCAAAACATCACTTACTTGTCTCAAGCATACGAAAACAATCATTGATAATATACCGAAGGATATAGTATAGAATCATCCAACATTTCATTGAGAAACCTATACAGGGTGTCCGTTTTTTGAACTCCATCATGGGGATCTCAGTTATTATAAGAGATACGAGGTCGGTTGAATTAGGGGAAAGTTGCGCATTTTTATGGTGAACATTTTCTTTCAATGATTCGAGAACTGAAAATGACACATCGAATTCCATTGCAGATAATTTAAACGAACTCGTATATCTTATAATAACGGAGATCCCCATGGCGGGGCTCGAAAAACGGACACCCTGTAGAGATTCTGGGGGTTGTTTATTCATACATAGTCTCCAGAACTTCACTTCATTTTGTTAAAAAAATCTCGATATTTCATTCAATTTCCTCAACAAAACTGACGTTTCTCCTGCTTGCTTATACGATGGAATGATTGAGAAGCATGTTGCTAGGCAACACTTCAGTGTCTAGGAGCTAAAGATGGAGTTTATCTCTTGAGAAGTAAAAATAAGTCAACTGACACCTGAATAGAATATAGTGTTTTTTTATGCAAATTTGTCGAACAAAGTGTCTCTTTTGACATCATTAAAACATGGCGCTATATCTTGTACGATAGAATAACCCGTTTTCTTCGTTTCCTAAGGCACAAGTTCAAGTGGAAATTGTATGATTTTCATGACCTAACAGCAATAAAAAATGTTTGTATAATAAACTTTCCATGTGAATAGACAAAACATTGGAATTTATCTACAAATCTTTAGAAATTGGAACTTAGTTAGAAATTATTAATTATTTATAGGTACTTTATGTAGGTAACGTATTATTAGGTATGTCCATATCGCACTTTCTGTTTAAATTTATCATTGTTAACTAATTGCTTCATTTTATTGTGAAAAGTGCGAATCTATTTTCAAACAATACTTGGAAAACCATAAATAAACAAAATTGAGGATTTCAACAGTAGGTATATGATATTGTTTACCTGCCACTTCTGAAGATAAGAATCATTTAAACTATTAAGCTGACGAAACTACTCAATAAAATTGACAAATTTCCTTCCAGTTTGAACCACTAAACATGATAGAATAAATTAATTCTCTCTCAAAAAAAGATTTAAATAATTCCCCTGAGAGATTGAATTTGCGTTGTGAGATGAAGAAATTATTCGAACTGACTAATTATTCGTCTTCTAATATACAGGGTGTTTCTTAAGTACGTGTAGAAAATTCAGGAGTATGTTGCTGACGTCAAAATGAGAAGGAAAATTCGTATAAATATATGTCCGAGAGTTATTCGTTTCCGAGATACAGAGTGTCAAAGTTGAATTGTTATTTTTGTTTTCTGGTAATAAATTTCAAAATAATTGTGATATTCGAATGAAGTTTGGTGTCTAGGGGTATTTTTCAATGACAATATCAAATTTTATGTTAGTTTATCTCTTTCATGGTTGTGGCGCCACCTACATGTCTTTATTATTCCAAATCCCAATAACCCGAAAACAGTTGCTCGCAGCGATCTCTACCAATAATATATCTTTTTCACAAAAGTGTTCTAGAAATCTATTTTTCTTCTATTAAACGTGATACAGGTACGCACAAGAAAGTTATGACTTTTCAAAAGACTCAATAGACATGTAGGTGGCGCCACCTCCACGAAAAAGACAAATTGACATAAAATTTCATATTGTAATTGAAAAGTACCCCCTCATAATAAACTTCATTCAAATATCACAATTATTCTGAAATTTATTAACAAAAAACAATAATAAGAATTCAACTTTGACACTCTGTTTCTCAGAAACGAATAACTTTCGGACATATATTTATTAGAACTGTTCTACTTATTTTGACGTCAGCAACTTGCTGCTGAATTTTCTACACGTACTTAAGAAACACCCTGTACATAGACCCCATTGGTTGCACTTTCAGCTACTCATATAATTTAAATGAACTCTACAAATTTATTAGACGCGTATAATAGGAGAATTGGCAACTATGTTTGAAGAACAAGTATGTACATTCTTATATCTTGACTATTTCGAATACTGGTTCTTCAGAAAGGATACAATGAAACTTGGAATTTAATTCAGACAATTTCACGAATGATGAATTCAGATGATCAATTATCTCCTTTTGCTTCCCAGATATATCTTCGTGTATCTCGAATGAATTTTCTGACTGCTGCATAGAAATTTCCATTGTAAATGATGCTGGGATCGTTCATTTCTTGTACAGGGCTGGATTTTTGAGGAGGATGGTCGTTCTCTTCTGTATCAATGTTACTCAAAGCTTCCAACTGAAAAATTTTGAAAAAATTTGTTGGGATCATTCTGATGAAATATTTTTTTATGAATCAATTTTCCTACATTCCTTCTCATTCTCGTGGGAAATCACCATCATTTCGTGCTCGTTAAACAATATACTTATTTATAATTTGATTCTTTTCTTTTTATTCATTAATTCTGGTTCCACTGTATATCTTCCATTTTATTGGATATTCGATTTGTATTTTTGTTTCTCTGACGGAACTTTGGCAGCAATGAAGCTTAGTTTTGTCTAGTTTATTTATTGGTAGTTTTTTTTATCGCTTGGAGCGCACGAAAGGGAATCTCTACAGGGTGTCCGGAAATTATGCGCAAACAATCAAGGGGGTGATTCTACATAATGAAATAAGAAATTCATTTCATATGAACCTAGGTCCGGAAATGCATAGTTTTCAACATACAGTGTGTTGAAACTTTTAAAAAAGATCGGTTTTTTATGAATATCTCAAATGTCTTTCCACCGATTTTCTTGAAATATGGCAATAATATTTTTTGACATGAGGGGCTGATATACCCATAATTCAATTGGAATCTTGGAATCCAGTGGCGTCCCGATGGGCAACCTACCGAATATTATGGTCAATAAAATGTGCGCCACTGATTTTTTTGAATTCTGTATCTTCATAACCTATTGACCAACTAAAAATACAACATTTTGGTCTCTTGAATTGTTGTGCTATTTTGCTGCTTCTTGGTGGAAAAAAAAATAAATTCCAATTCATTGTATAAATTTGCGCAAAATATTGCTTCAAAAACAGGGGTGAAATTAAATGTGAGATCCATGTCCATAGACGTAGAATAATAATGAAGAATAATTATCTTCAATATTTTATAATACACTCAGTATATTGAGAACTATGTATTCTCGGTCCAGGAAGGCGTAGTTATCGATAATACAAAATGTGTCAAACATGTATTATAAAATATTTGAAGAAAATGAATCTCCATTCTTATTTTACGTCTATGGACATGGATCACACATTTAATTTCACCCCTGTTTTTGAAGCAATGTTTTGCACAAATTTATACAATGAATTGGTATTTATTTTTTTCCATGGAAACGCGGCAAAATAGCAAAACAATTCAGGAGATCAAAATGTTGTATTTTTAGTTAATCATCAGGATATAAAGATGAAGAATTCAAAAAAATAAGTGGCGCACATTTTATTGACAATAATATTTGGTAGGATGCCCCAGGGACGCCACTGGATTTCACAATTCCAATTTAAATTATGGTTAAATTAGCCCCTCATGATGAAAAATATCTTTGCCAAATTTCAAGGAAATCGGTGGAAGGATATTTGAGATATTCACAAAAAACCGATTTTTTCAAAAAAGTTTAACACACTGTATCTTGAAAACTATGCATTTCCGGACCCAAGTATATATGAAATAAATTACATGATTTCACATGCAGAATGACCCCCTTGATTTTTTGCGCATAATTTCCGGACACCCTGTATAGTGTTCAAAGAATATCGTGCGTTCCTAGGGAGGATAGGGACAGGAGGTAGGTATTGGAATTTTTTTTTAACTTTAGGAGATTATATTATGTTTTGCTTTTACAGGTCAATAGGGTATATAAAGTACAGAAATTGTTTGAATGATAATAATCTCGATAATAATATAGTAAGAAAAATACTTGAAAATTGAAAAGTGAATTGAACGATAGACATTTTACATATTAAAATAGGTTTAACATATTGAAATAGGTTCTACATATTGAAATAGGTCTTACATATAAAACTAAAATGCCCTCAAGTCACTCTCAAGGTACTCCTCCTTAGGAGATAGTTTTTGACTCTAGATTTGAAGCTATTTAAATTTAGCTGCTTAACATCTGTCGGTAGAGCATTGAAAAATTTGATGCCATAATAATTGGTTCTTCTTCTACAGGGGGATATGAAAACACCAATCAATACTTCTGTATCCATGTGCTGAATATGTGTACACATTTCAAAAACACCTCTTATACAGTGTGTCCACCTTAAGCACTTACCACCCCTGTAAAATTGTTATTATCTGACCGATTTCAAAAAACTTTTTTTTATTGAATAGGTATTTGGAATGTCCATCCAACAAGAGAGTGATTTGACTCATGAACTGTAATCGTGGCCAACTGCGACCAACTTTATTGACCCATATTTGAGAAAGTACTATTAGGGATTTTTTTTTCACAAAAAACAATGATGGATTCTGAATCAAGATCACTTGAAAAACACCGTGACTGATTTTTATCATCATAAAACACAGGGTGTCCGAAAAAACGAATTGTTTTTTTTTTAATATGTGCGATCAGAAAATGTAGTATTGTGGTATTTTTGAGAAGAATTGATGACACATTATTATTGAGGATCACTTTGAACATCTGTACCGATTTTCATCATTCAAAAATACGATGTATATGAGAAAACAATTAAAAAGAAAAAGTAGGCAATAGTTTTTCATCACCTCAAAAACAATATTAATTTGATTTTTCGAACTCCCTGTGTTTAATGATAATGAAAATCGATACAGGTATGTTCCAAGTGATCCTGATTCATCTTTTTATCTTGAGTGAAGAATTATCAGGATGAAAAATATTGCTTACCTATCCTTTTTAATTTGTTTCTCAGACACATTGTATATTCAAATGACGAAAATTGGTACAGGTATATTTGAAATAATCCTCAATGATAATTTGTGATTATTTCGTTCTAGAAAAACCACAGAACTACATTTGCTGATCATGTATTTGAAGAAAATGATGATTCGTTTTTTCGGACACCCTGTGTTTTATGATGATGAAAATCGGTACAGGTATATTTTAAGTGGTACTGATTCAGAATCCATCATCAAGTTTCGTAGAAAAAAATCCCTAATAGTACTTTCTGGAATATGGGTCATTGAAATTTGTCGCAGTTGGCCACGATAACAGTCCAAGAATTAGATTACTCTCTCGTTGGATGGGCATTTCGAATACCTATCCAACAAAAAAAGGTTTTTTGAAATTGGTCGGATAATAACGACTTTACAGGGGTGGTAAGTCCTTAAGGTGGACACACTGTATTTGAAATCAGGAGAAAGAGCTCTATCGATTTGGAAAATAAAATAAAGGGTGTTTCATTCAAAAATGCTTTTTTGCATTTTCTAGTAATAGATTCTGAATATCCATGAAAAATACTATTGATACTGTTCATACCTCCTAGATTTTTTCGTACTTGTTAATTCACACCCTGTATACTACCTGACTTTTCTCGATTGTAGCTGGTTCAGAAAACACCACCCAGGTCGCCACTTCGTGTATACCGGGAGCGTTGAAAGTGCCCTGATAGGTGTAATAGCTCTTCACATAATTTGGCAGAAAACCACAAAAACAAATGCCATCCACAGGAACTCCACAGCTCACGTTTCGAGACACATCTTCAATTCCCTGAACGAATTCTTTGAAAATATTTTCTTTACAGTTCCCATACTGAAAAAATATGTAAATTTACAGGGTGATTCGGATCGAGAACTTATTATAAACATATTATATCACCAAGACAGGTATAAAGTATAGTTTCTAAAGAATGATGTTTTTTTTTATGTTCTGGTTCACGCACGCTAAGGGACATCCTGTAATGTTCAGAAAACATCGTGAGAACCAAGGGAAATAAGATAGGTAGGAATTATTGGTGTTCTTCTTGAATTTCTGGAGGTTATATGCCTCTGAGAACACCTCCCTTGGAAATGTGTTTCAGAGCCTCGCTGTTCGTTGGATGAACGAGTCTTTGGAAAGAGATGTTCTGCAGGTCTCCAAAGTGACCACGAAGGGGTGCGAAGCCTCAACTCGACGGGTTAATCTTGCGGGGACTGCCAAGGGAGGAACAATTGTTGATATTCCAGAAGAGCATCACCCATGAAAATATCTATAAAATAGAACCAGATTGCCAACTTCTATACGGTGTTCCAGAGAAGTGAGTGAGTTTGTGAGCGAGGCATCACCCACGAGACGAATTGCCCTTTTTTGGACAGAATCCAACAGTTTCAGGATATGTTTGGGTGCTGCCGTTACCACCGATGTCTGATCTGTGCCTTATAGATCATAAGCAGCTGACTGGAAGTGAAATAGCTCCTGGCCCGAAACAGAAAACCAAGTTTTTGGGATGCACTTTCAGCAATTGATCTCACGTGATTTTCCCAAGAAAGGTTATTGCTGATAGTAATACCAAGCATCGAAATGGATGTCTTCAAAGGTATGGTTACTGCTGACAAGATTATGTTGGACACAGTGAGATCGGCCTTTCTAGAGAAAAGGCATGCTTGCGTTTTGTTTGCATTGAAATCTACCAAGTTATTGGATCCCCATTCGAGAATTATTGCCGCGTCCATATTTATGTTGTCAACATTTCTTCCTCGTTCGTTTCTGACTTGCCTGGCTGGTATTGGAGCCCTGAAAGAGGTGGTATGGAGGGTACTATCATCCGCGAAGCTGTGTACTCAACATGAAGTTGCTTCCAACAAATCGTTGATATGGAGTAGAAATAATAGTGTAGGTGCTAGAATTAATCCTTGCGGAACACCAGCATTTATGATAAGAGAGTCAGATGAAACTCCGTCGACCACTACATGGAGAGACCTGTTTGAGAGAAAACTAGCTAGCAGAGAACATAGCTGGGGAGGCAAGCCATAAGATGGATGTATTCGTACAGGGCGATTTAAAAATCATCGTTGTATTTCTCGAGAATTCTTCAACTACATGTGAATTGTGAATAAAAAGAAATCGAATATTTCAGGAAAACTCTATAATTTTAGAGAAGTTCAACCTGAAAAGTGAATAATAATGCTTGATTCATGAATGTCTTACCCCTTGATGACGATTATACTCACATCATAAAATACAGCGAGAATAGCTAAACCATCATTGAATTTCAAGGCATTCCTGAAACTACCTGTGGACGTTTTATAATGTACCAGGTGTGCTTCTAGAGGATACCTAAAAATTTCAATGAATCATCAATCGATTTCAATATGCGTAATATATACAGGGTGTTACAGAGTTGTGGTGACAAAAGCCTTTTGGGGAGATTCCTATCAACGAAATATGAAAGAAAGTTCATATGATAATGGGTCCAAAAATAGTTCGTTTCCAGGATATAGAGTGTCCAAGTTAAAAGCAAGCATGCAAAAAATATTCATTAATATCTTGACAAAATGTTTATCATAGAATTTGAAGATCGTAAACATTTCAGAGAAGGTTGTTGAATTGTATGTTCTTTTTGTTTCCATAAGTGATAATGTGCAATACATTTTCAGATAATATCTCAGCATTTTCCTTTTTTCTTATGGAGTTCAGAGATATGTCGAGGTATGAAATTGTCTGTTTTTCTCGACAAAAATGGCAAGACACAAAAATGTTGTATTCCTATTGTATTTTTGTGAATATTCAAGAAGAACCCAAAAAAAACACACGGTGACTTTTTTTTCTACAAAAAAGATCTGCCACATTCGGTATTTAGAATCTTACAGGGGATCCTTCATCTTCAAACCTGAGAAAATGTTTTGTACAGGGTGATTCACCATAAATGTCCCCCCCTCTAACTCACTTATTTTTGAACCGATTTGAAAATTTAGAAAATCGGTAAGAAAACGATAATTATTACTAACTTGTGTCCATCTATGGTATGTTCCACATCCCAATGAAAATGAATATGGTCCAAGGTGTAATCAAATTCAAGGGGACCACCTGATACTACTGGTAAGTCATCACAATCTATATCGGTGGTATCCAAATCCAGTTGAACTGAAAAAATAGCTAGTTATGTTCATCCCTCTCACTTCTAGGCATTCCTAATGTGGAAAATCAAAAATCAAAATGGCTTCAGCTAATTCTCGATCAATTTTGTCATTAAAAAAAATCTAGGGAGAATGTAGTTCAGTCAATAATGAACAGGTTGTAGAGGACATGGAAGAGGACAGTTTTTTGAGACTATATACACTATATAGGGATATGTCCGGAGTAGATAGGAAGTGAATATTCCAAAAGACTCCGAACTTAATAATAATGGTAATATTCATTTCAATCTTTGTTATAAACATTACATTGCATCTAATATAAATATAAAATATATGTATTAAGGTCTACAATGTAATAACATGAATAATCAGACAGAATTATATCTGGTATGAGATTATTCATGCGTTATTAAATCTAAGTTATTGAAATAAACAACAAATACAAAAGTAATGATAATAAAAAAAATCTCATGAATAGTTATTTAATCAACTAGTGTATTGATGAGGGCGATTAATGATCGGTTAATGTTCGAGATCATTAATCGCCTTTTGATATACAAGTTGGTTACAAAATTTTTTCGTCGACTATATTTCTCATTTCTCCTGCAATGAAGAAAACTTGGTTCGCGAATTCATCATTCATCCGGAAACTGCTAAGAATCACCCAGTAGCCTTGTTACTGACATTAGTGACATTTGACATTTGTCGAAATGATCAACATAGAAAATACATTTCTTGTGTTAGAAAACAGGGATTAGAATCGTGTCAGAAACTTGGAAAGGCGAACCCGTTAACGGAAAGTCTTCGATGAAATCCATATTTTCGATTTAAATGCAAATTCCGTAAGTTATAGCATAAACAATGAATGCACGCGGTGTATGTTTGGTTGCCTATAAAACAATCGTTCATTAATAGACAAATCGTTCATTATACATTAAACTTAGTCGTTAAAACGAGGTCGACGGAAATAGATATTTAACCAACTAGTGTATTAATCGCCTTTCAATATACGAGTTGGTCACAAAATTTTTCCGTCGACTGTAATTCTCATTTCTCCTGCAATGAAGAAAATTTGGTTCGCGAATTCATCATTCATCCGGAAACTGCTAAGAATCACCCAGTAGCCTTGTTACTGACATTAGTGACATTTGACATTTGTCGAAATGCAACATAGAAAATACATTTCTTGTGTTAGAAAACAGGGATTAGAATCGTGTCAGAAACTTGGAAAGGCGAACCCGTTAACGGAAAATCTTCGATGAAATCCATATTTTCGATTTAAATGCAAATTCCGTAAGTTATAGCATAAACAATGAATGTACGCGGTGTATGTTTGGTTGCCTATAAAACAATCGTGTATTAATAGACAAATCGTCCATTAATAGGGGTCATTAATGAACGATTTCATATACATTAAACTTAGTCGTTAATACGAGGTCGACGGCAAATGTACATTATGAAATGATGATATATATAAGCTAATGAGAAATCATTCAGTCTGGTTTGATTTACTCTTTGCAAGAGGATATGTTTCTTGACTTCAATTTTGAATAGGGTGATATTGTGCAACTTTTGATATCATCAGGTAATTTATTGAAATTTTAGATAGTTCCGTGAGTAAACTTTTTGGCCAAGTGTAGAATTAGCAGCATCAAGATGAGACAAGTCATATTTTCTAGTATGATGTTCATGGATTTGGGAATTCCTCAACAATATAAAGTTAGATTTGGGGTGTTTGTTGATAATATCATAAGAAATTTTGGAGTATTGATCAAATAGTGCTCTTCCAAATGAAATAAATGTATTTGTTTCGACACAAAAAAATTCTAAAGTTGAAGAAATCTCAATTTTTCACACCCTATATCTCCGTTATCATCTCATCGAAACCACAGTCGATGAAATCAGCTCTTCAGGGAGAATCTAAAAATACAATGAAATACAGGGTGTGTTTCATTCAAAAATCTATACATCTCGCCCATAACTTTATTTTGAGATGTTTAATTGTTTTACTGTTAACATATTCAAAATTTACAGGGAAAATTATAAAAGACTGTTCTTTGCTGCGGTGGTTTCATTTACAACTTTATCAGTTGATATTCAACCTCTATTGTGTTGTGGTATAACTTACCTGTATGGCCAGTATTCCTCAGTGAAACATTGAATTTTCGTTCATAATTTCCGAATTGTAAAGGTGGTAATTTCTTGCGTACTACATTGTCGTTCGAAAAGGCGATTGGAGATTGCCAACCATTTTTGTCATTGTCAATTTGCCATTTTTCTACAACATATATAGGGAAATGTAAAAACTTCTTGAACGATATTGTGAAGTTGTGAAGTTTTTGCATTTGGCATTTTCATTTTCAAAATAATGACATATGATCGATTACGTTGCTTTCTTATTTTAACAAGTATTCATAAACGTGGCAGTTTTTTAGATTGTGAAAGTTTCTTTGATAAAAAATAAATAAAATCTAAACACACTTTAGTTCGAAAGTTAAGGAGGTTACTGGTATATATTCATTAGAACTTTTCTTCTTGAAATGAGCTGAGGAACCATATCCTATATTTTCAGCAATCAATTGAATTACACCCTGTATAGACCAAACAAATATCATGTGAGCTTGTTGTAATAATACCACTTTGATCGTTTTCACTTTCGCATTGCTCTGGTGATATGAAAAAACTTTCTGAGCAACAACACAATGTGCTATATCCTGCTTCCATAGGTGCTCCTAGGAAAAACTATGTATGCACCTGAACTTGCTGAAGTTGATTTTTTTCAGAGAAAATCATAAAAAAAAATCGAGTTCAGCAGGTAGACCAAGCACAAACGAACAGGCCTATGGTTGAAACTGTTGAAAGACACAAATACGTTTCCAACTTTGGGACGTACTCGCCATATTTCTGATTGGGATTGGGCCGATTGGGTCAAAAATTAATTAGATAAGATGAGAATGGGGCCTTCTTTCTATTTGCCTCGACACCGCAACTTTTTCAGATTTATTGTCTGTGCCAAATCCAAATTTAATCCAATCCAAAATTCCAGTGTAAGGAACCTTAGTCGTCCCAAGCCCTCGCAATGGCAAAGAATGTGCACTGCTAATTCCTCCTCTAACTAACAAAACCTGCACAGCAGATCTTCAGCCATTAGGCCTATCGTACTCATGTGTTTGTTGAGCCTACAATACCTTGTGAGAAGTCCCACTAATATTCTAGTTATTTTCTAATCCAATAGATATTTCTGTGAATACTAGCGATGTTTGTTCATTTGGTACTCCATAGCCTGTCTGCCTGTCTCACTCCTGACGAATGGTACCACCATTCTTGAGATTTGGTTTGAATCCATGATTCGATGATTTTGTTTTGGATGGCTTCCGTAGTACTACAAAAGGGTTCTGGGCCATCAGATCACCTTTGCTTCTACTCGGGATAGTCAATCTGCCATTTCGTTTTCCTGATACCCTGTATGTGCCTACCCATGCTAGAGAAAATCTCTGTTCAGTCTGTTCTGACTGGCCAGTTCATTCAATGTTTCTGAGCAAACACAGACTAATTTTGAATTACAAATTACGATGGGTTGACTGTTTCAATTGCCGCCTGGCTATTCAAGTATATGATATGATATATAAAAAAACATTTAAAGAAGATAGTCAACGAGGTTTCAAATGTAGAAGGTAGCTTTAGCACATTTTTTCATGAAAACAATTTTTGAATTTGGGTTTGATGGACGTTTCCATAATCCCTGATACGTATGTGGTGGTCGTACCACTCGTACCCATGCTAGAGTCAGTTTTTTCTGACTGCCCAGTTCATTTAGTATTTCTAAGCAATCTCAGACTAATTTTGAGTTAACTTACAATGAGTTGACTGCTTAGATTGCCGCCAGGGAATTGAAAAATTTCCCAACACCACCATAATAAAATGTGAATTGTGATATCAATATAATTCAGGAATTCTTCATCAATGAATTGAACGAATACTCCAATCAGAATCTTATAGTTGCGATGATTTATTCATGCTAGAGTTAGTCTTTTCTGACTGCCCAGTTCATTTAGTATTTCTAAGCAATCTCAGACTAATTTTGAGTTAACATACAATGAGTTGACTGCTTAGATTGCCGCCAGGGAATTGAACAATTTCCCAACACCACCATAATAAAAACATCAATATAATTCAGGAATTCTTCATCAATGAATTGAACGAATACTCCAATCAGAATCTTATAGTTGCGATGATTTATTCATGCTAGAGTTAGTCTTTTCTGACTGCCCAGTTCATTTAGTATTTTTAAGCAATCTCAGACCAATTTTGAGTTAACATACAATGAGTTGACTGCTTATAGATTGCCACCAGTGAATTGAACAATTTCCCAACACCACCATAATAAAATGTGAATTGCGATATCAATATTATTCAGGAATTCTTCATCAATGAATTGAACGAATACTTCAATCAGAATCTCATTTTTTTTATCGCTTGGAGCGCACGAAAGAGAATCCCTATAATGTTCAAAGAACATCGTGCGTTCCTAAGGAGGATAGGGATAGGAGGCAGGTATTGGAATTTTTTTTGAACTTCTGGAGATTATATGTTGTTGGGAATACTTCCACAGGCAATGAATTCTGAGCCTAGCCGTTCTATGGATGAAGGAGTCTTGATAAAGTGCTGTTCGACATCTTTCGAGGTTGACAACGAAAGGATGTGCTGACTTGGCTTGTCTAGTTCGTCTGATTGGTGTTGCTAGTGAAGGGATGATAGCAGAGATTTCCGAAGAACATTTCCCGTGGAAGTATCGATAAAAAAGTGAAAGGTCGCCGACCTTTCTACGGTGTTCCAATGATGTCAAAGAGTGAGTGAGTGTGGCGTCACCCACCAGGCGAATGGCTCTTCTCTGGATGGAATCTAAGAGCATCAGCGTATGTTTTGGTGCTGAACCCCATATGTGGGAACAGTATTCTAGAACAGGCCGTATCTGCACTTTGTAGATCATGAGAAGCTGTTGAGGTGTGAAATAAGTAGCTTTTCGCACGGAACAAGAATCCGAGTTTTTGTGAAGCAGCTTTTGCGATGGATCTGACATGATTATCCCATGAAAGATTGTTGCTGATGGAAATACCGAGCATAGATATGGTGGGCTTGGTGGAGATGGTGGTGCCAGACATAACAATGTCGGGCATACTGAGTTCCGCCTTTCTAGAGAAAATACAGGCTTGAGTCTTGGTGGCGTTGAATTCAACTAGGTTGTTGGTTCCCCAGACTGTGATTTCAGCAAGGTCTTCATTGACAGCATTGACCTGCCTGCGCCCTGAGTTCTTAGTTTCCTGGGAAGAAATGGGAATTTTGGAAGAGAACGCAGTATGGAGGGTACTATCATCTGCAAAGCTGTGGATGGGGCAAGTTGTTACTCCCAACAGATCATTGATATGAAGAAGGAATAATGTTGGTGCCAAAATTGATCCTTGTGGAACGCCGGAATTGATGCCAATGGTATCAGACGATATACCGTCCACCACCACATGGAGCGAACTGCCTGAAAGAAAACTCGATAAGAGATGACATAGCTGAGGTGGTAAGCCGTATGATGGTAGTTTGTGGAGGAGTCCTTCGTGCCAAACACGGTCAAATGCTTTCGATATGTCCAACGCGACAGCTAGAGATTCCCCGTGTTTTTCTAATGAGGCTTGCCATAAATGGGTGACGTAGGCAAGTAGATCTCCAGTAGATCTTCGGTGGCGAAAGCTGTATTGTCTATCATTGATGATTCCTGAGCTCTCCAGATATTTGATAAGCTCAATGTTAATGGCTTTCTCCATCACTTTGGAGATTACTGATGAAAGGGCAATGGGCCTGTAGTTGTTGGGCAGGTTCTTGTTCCCTTTTTTGGGGATTGGTTGGACTCTAGCTGTCTTCCAGCATGATGGAAAAATACCCGACCTGTACGAGACGGTAAACAACTTGCAGAGAATCGGTGTTAGTTCTGGTGCATAGTTGCGATGATTTATTTCTATTCAAAAATATTCTTCTTGGTGATATTAGAGCAATGGTTAGAGTAGAACGGGTCTATTTTGATCATTTCATTATGTCATCATTGCAGTATCAATTAAACAAATCTAAATTATCATATTATATCTAAACTCTCACCTAAGGAGCTCATACAATTTTCCACCAATATTTTGATTTTGTATATATTAGAAATTCCCTCCAAGAGCAACATTTACGGTTTTTTTTTCTTGAATAATACCATTTGATTTTGAGTCTGATAGTAAATTCGAACGTTCAAACTGCACAAACTTGGATTTTCACAATCGAAATTTTGGATTTTGACAAACGCCACGTGAAAGAAATAGGTGTCATTTCTGATCGATAATAGAGAGTGATACGAAATAGTTTCAAATCTCAAAATTTTATTGAGAAATAATTCATCATAAAAAATGAAAAATACACATAATACTAATACTAAAAATCTATACATTCAGGTAACTGATGTCACATTCATTATTACTTCAAAAATATGTTTCCACTTTGATGGTTTCGAGCAAATATAAATATTAATTGGACTAGATAACAACAATGTGATTTGTTGATTCATTAGTCAGTATCACTATCATTTCGCTTGTCCAGTGTTATCCATCAAGAAGGCCTCACCATAGCCCTTATCAACAGTTTCACAGGGTGATCTTTGAAAGCGTGACCAACCACACATTATTTTTTCAAATAGAACACCCTGTGTTTTAATTCTTTTTCGGTATCTGTGATTTTTTGCGATCACATAAATATCTTTGTACTGTATGATATCTTTCATTTTTACTTCATCATCAGCACTTTTTTGATCCTAGAAAAACTATTTTGGTGTGTTGGCTTCTACAGATATCGTGTCAGCCATGACACCGAACAGAGACAGAGGGGATATTTGACACTTGTATATACAGTGTCATTCATAAAGTCAGCATCATATGAGAAAAACTTTTATTAATGACTTATTTCGAAATTCGAGTTGGACGTCGGGTTTTGCTTCAAAAAAGATGAAAAATGGCCTACTCAATCGGGGTCACGTGACTTTCGCTACATGTCAAAAGTTACATTTTTTCAAATTAATCGCTGAAAGTAGGCTTATTTGTTCGAATATCGAAAAAGTTTACTTGAAAAAGTTGTTTCTATTTCAATTTTGCATATGTGACTCGGATTTCATCTTTCTTATACATTTTTTAGATTTCGATATTTTTTAAAAATTTTCGAAATTTCTGTGATATTAAAAAAATTGTAAATTCGATATAACTACTTCATACCAGTAGCTTCATCATGCTACCAACTTTCAACCACTAATTATCACTAATTATCGACAAAAATATGATTTTCTTCAGAAAATGATAATCTCCGCTTCAAAATTCTGTTATGTTTGATGCAAACATAACATCAAAATGCTGTTATGTTTGAGTCGAGCATTTAGAAACGAAATTCATTTGAATTCATTTTTTCAGTACTGAAAGGATCAGTTTGAATGAATTTCGTTTCTAAATGCTTGACGATATATCAACTTTGCATCAAACATAACAGAATTTGGAAGCGGGTATTATCATTTTCTGAAGAAAATCATATTTTTGTCCATAATCAGTGATAATAAGTAATTGAAAGTGAGTAGCATGAAAAAGCTACTGGTATGAAGTAGTTTCGTGAAATAAACAATTCTTCAAATATAACAGAAATTTTGAAGAATTTAAAAAAAATGAAAATCTAAAAGTTGCAATAGAAATATCAAATTCGAGAAGCATGTGTAAAATTGAAATAGAAACAACTTTTTCAAGTAAACTTTCTCGATATTCGAACAAATAAGCCTACTTTCAGCGATTTATTTGAAAAAATGTCACTTTTGACATGTAGCGAAAGTCACGTGACCCCGATTGAGTAGGCCATTTTTCATCTTTCTTGAAGCAAAACTCAACGTACAACTCGACTCCCAAAATAAGACATTAATAAAAGTTTGTCCCATATGATGCCGACTTTATGAATGACACTGTATATCATTATCAAATACATTCCCAAACTGATCGAGTGATCACCAACTAATTAGACAAAATTTGTTTTTCTAGGCTCAAAAGAGTGGTGATACAGATATATCGGCCTATACAAATACATTTTTGTGATCAGAAAAATTCACAGATTCCTAAACAAAAATAAAATACAGGGTGTTTGAATCGAAAAAATAATTTGTGGATTGTCACGCTTCTATAGGGATCACCCTGTGAAACTTCTGATAAGTGCTGTGGAAATGCCTCATTGCAGCATTTTGTTTTTTCTCGATGTCAAAATAACCTTCTGTACAATCATCAACACTTTCAGATGCCTGATAATCATTCTCTTAAACGAACAAACAATCATTTGAATTCAGGAAGAATTTTCCTGAAAGATCTGTTTTCTGATCAATAGAAAAAATAGTAAAGTATACTTCCTACTACAGAGTTTTTCCATGAAACATAATATGCAACTACTGTGGTGATAAAATCTTATAGACATCAAACCCATGCCCAATGAATTCTGAAAATCTTTGAAATAATAACTAAAAATATAAAAAATGGAGTAAAATATGGCACAAGTTTTCAAAAAAGAATATCGGTCAACACGACTTGTTGAGTAAAAAACTATTATTACTATACATACAAAATCATTACAATCAAAATGACAGTGTAAATATTTTTTCCCAATTTGAATCATCCTTGTCAATTCTCGAAAATATATTCGATATGTTACTTTTATCTCCGCTTCAATTATAAAATTTATAACAATTATATGAGCAACAATGAAGATAAAATAAAAGTTCCTGTCAAATATCGCTTTCATCAATATCATTATCAACACTCCAACCTCCTAACAACTGTTTATATAACCCCTGAAGAAAAACAATAGAGAAGGGAGTAAATAAACAACGCTGGAGCACAAGGAGATTTTGTTGATATTAGCACCAGCAGTGATTCGATGCCCTGGATTCTTCCGGATAAACACCTCTCGATCATTCAGAGGCTGTAAGGACCTGAAGTTCCTGTACAACATGGAGTTGTCCTCAGTTCGAAGCAATTCGAAAATATGCACCTATACAAAAACAAAGTTCATGTAAGCACACTCTGAGAAAAAGTGTGGATTTATATGCAGCATCAAATAACAATAATTATCAATTTACAATGGGCGAGTGGACTGATAATGAGTTATTGGCATTCAATCCCTCAACTGTGTCGTTATGAACTTAATAGTATATTATGTAACAAGTGTTATAAACGTCCTTTAAGCAACGAGTAGTTTAAGCACGAGCGGAGCAGAGCGGAGATTGTTTAACTATACCCATGATTCATACTAAATAAAAATACACCAAGGCCCAATTACTCGAGGTGTTATATGTCAAAGAGTTCAAGAAAGTATATGTTATATAGTATATATCCCAACAGAGATGTATAGAAATTTAACTGGTGGGCTCACTCTTCAATTGTTTCGTCAGACTCTCGATATGGAACAATTGCAAGCGAGTTTTGGACGTGGGGTTCAGGTATTTGCGATAGAGGCGCCATAATCGGAAAATCGTTCAAAACCTTGGTTCTGTGAGGGATGAATCTATTATTTCCATCATTGTTCTGTGGTCGAATAAATACTGTGCTCAACATTTTCATTCAAATTTCAATTTGAAATAGAAGCAAGAAATCTTTTTTGTAGCCGATTTTAATAAGCTTCACTTCTTTCATGACATGAACCTATTTAAAGCATGAAATCTGATGAATTTCCTCTTTGAAGAACCAGAACAAAGAATGAATCATAATAGGCAGGGTAACTCACCTTAGAATTTGTTCACTCCAGTTCACGCTAATATTTCAAATCACTGAAATAATACTGTTGTAGAACAGAGATTTTCTTTTTTCTATGGTGGATTAGGTATTATACACAAAATTTAGAAACTACGGAACACGTCCCTAACGAACACTTGACCCCAATCTCAGAAATAACCATTTTTTCAGCTCAAGAATATTTTTGACATATTGACGTTTCGATCCTTTGATCAGGAATCAGTTCACTGCTCTGATCCAAATCATATACGTATCCAAACATTTATCGGTCGGTAATATGTTTCCTGTAAATATGGATTGTAACCAGGATGAGCTTAGCGAGATTTACCCACGTCAAGTATGTTTATCAAAGGTTTATCAGAGTAGGCGCCATCGAGAAACTTGCAAACGACCTTCAATAGGGAGCAAGCGCACCAGTTAAATTTCTATACATCTCTATTTCTACTATACCTGCTTTTTCGAAATAGGAATAGTAGAAGTAAAAATCGTCCACACGACTCCTTCATTGCAGTCTGGTGTCGTGAGTGATCCTTGGTATCTGAAATAGCCTGCACGGTCTCTTGGTACGAAATCTCTTATCACAAAATTGCCCATGGCCTTTGGTGCATTGAGTTGGTCCTTTACTATCTCGATGATGTCCACTAAGGGCTGGAAGTCCATATCGTCGTCCAAAGAGAGCTAAAAAAAATCACCGATATAGTGAAATGTCATATCTTGCTCCTGTAACTTCTGCATTCGTGAACGTATTTTTCGGATATTTGATACAGCTATACGTATACAGGATGATTCATTAAGACTGGAAAATCACTGAAGTACAGATAGTAAACACAAAGATAATGAGATCTAGCCCAAATATGCCAGATGAGAATGTTGCTGGCTTAGGAGATACCTACAGGGTGTTCTAGGGGGAGATTTTATTTCAAAATTTGACAGTAACTTTGTTAGTTTTAACAGCATGAACATGAAATCTTGTATATATCTAGGTTTTCTAAGATAAGGAATATGAATGGGCAACTTATTTTGTGATTGCTCATAGAGTGGCACTCTGTTACTTCGATAATTAACATCATATATTCTATGACAATTCATTGATGATCAAAATAAGTGGAAAATCTGAAAGCTCGTAATTTCATCAAATACAAAATGGTTGCTTACATAACCGTACCAAATTTCATGCACCCGGTATATTTGTCGATTGATTCTGATGTTTTTTTGCCCAACAAGTAGTAGATATTATCAAGCATTTTTAATCGGAATACTGATATCATCAGCATGTTGCTATACTCCTGAATCACGTATGTCTCAATTTTCGGGATGATATCATATAATGCCTTGTAGCATTATTTTATTTGGAATTATCCATTTTTAGGTCTTTTTATTGATGAACAATAATCGTGGACTCAACACGTAGATCATTTGAGGAAAAAACTGAATTCTATTGCAGGTATTTTAAATAAAATTCGAAATTTTATTCTTGTTATCTGAAGTATTTATTTCTGTCTTATTATTTATTCAAATTTTCAATATTTAATATCTATTTGGGGAAGTAGTGATAAAATTCTCGAAACGAATACATTTTTTGTTATACTAATTATCCAAACCTTGGAAAATAATTAATTCCTCATACGAACAACATCCTGTATGTAATAAATACAAAAAACTACTGAATACTGATGTCCTAAAATTATTCCAATGATTTTGCTGAAATATGCCTGATATTGAGACAGCATTTTTGCATTTTAAATCGATTACAATAGAGTGCATGGGCCATGCAATGAGAAAATTAAGTATACATATATTGAGCAACAAAAAAATTTTAAACGAACAAGAAAATACAATGGTGGTGCTGCTTATGGCACGACACACTGTAGAAAGGAGAAGCATAAATAAAAAAAATCTTTCGGATCATATCATGAGGAATCCCTATTATTTTAGTGGTAAATCGTGCGTAGCTACAGTAGCATCCTCACCAATTCTGATTTTTTTTCTCAATGATTCTCGAATTTTTGAAATCATGCCTAAATTGCCTATGCCTATTAAATTTATTGAAAATATACGAAATAATATGGATATACTCACATCGAATAAAACTGCTACCACTGCGACTCCTCCTGGATAGTTTTTCGCCGATTTGAAGTCACTATATTTCTTGGCATAATGAACAATATGCAGCTCTAAAGGATATCTGTGAAGGAATTCATAAAACTTCGTGAAAATTCAACGAAAGCGATATTATATTGGTGTGCCTAACTTCTCTGGATGGAATCATCAGCACATGCTTGGGTGCTGAACCCTATATGTGAGAACAGTATTCTAAAACTGGCTGTATTTGTGTTTTGTAGATCATGAGAAGCTGTTGAGGTGTAAAATAGATTTTCGCATGGAATAAGAATCCGAGGTTTAGTGAAGCAGTTTCCGCGATGCATCGGAGATGATTTTCTCATGAAAATGTATTGCTGATGGAAATATCGAGCATCGATAAAGTGGCCTTGGTGGGAATGTACCAGACATTGTTATATCAGGCACAATGAGTTCCGCCTTTCTAGAAAAAATACAGGCTTGAGTTTTGGTGGTGTCGAATTCAACTAGGCTGTTGATTCCCCAGTCTGTGATTATAGCAAGATCTTCATTGACAGTAAGTTCTTAGTTTCCACAGAAGAAATGGGAATTGTAGATGAGTACCATTATCGTCTGCAAAGCTGTGGATAGGGCAACTGATTGCTCCTAACAGATCATTTATATGAAGTAGGAACAATGTTGGTGCCAGAATTGATCCATGTGGAACGCCGGAGTTGATGGCAATGGTATCAGACGATACTCCGGGGATATATGCCAGGGGAAGGGTAGTAGATATAGATTTGCAGTCGTACCCTAGAGAGGAGAGTAATCTGCAGTCGAGAGTTTGTTCACAGTGTTAAGATTATCGTGAGACTGAATCAATGTTGTGTCATCAGCGAAACATAAGCATAATCCAGGTGACACAAAATGGAAAATATCGTTCAAATACATTATAAATAAGAGTGGTTCTAGGACGGAGCCCTGTGGAACTCCATGAAAGACTTCCTGAAAATCCGAAATGGAGTAATCTAGATAAACCGCTTGTTTTCGATTTTCGATATGATTCGAAAAATTTCAGTATTAAGTAAGCGAAATAAATTTCAGATTCAAACCAAATAACTTCTGTATTGAATGTGTTTCTATCTGCAATAAGAGGAGGTATGGACCACTGTGACCTCACAACATACACCTATTTGTTGTAAACTTTGAAACTGCAATACTGAATTTGAAAAATGTATTTCGGATTTTGAGTGAACTAAAATTTAAAACCTACCATATGACAAATGAATGACTGAAATAAAATGCCATTACATTTTCCATCAGATTTTTCTTAATATTGAGTAGATTTAAGTTCATTACTTTCCTTTCGATACCAAGAGACCAAGACTCTTGGGAGAGTGGTCTTGGTCTTTTGGACTTGTATCAAGACGAAGACAAGGTCAAGACTGGACTCTTGGTCTCGCAAAGTCCTAATTCCACTCACCTGAAACCATCAATTGTGTGTTCGGATTGCCAGTGGAAGTGCAAATGATCCAACGCATATGTTTGATCGAGGCCTCCTCCATTGATTTCCGGTACTTTTCCATCGAAGTCTGGTCTTATCTCGGCTGAAAAACCATATCAATTCAGGACTATCAATGTGTTACCTACTCAAGATTCCCTCATCACTGAGTCTATTTACCTGAATGGCCATTATTTTGTATGCTCACAGTGAACCTTCTTCCATAATTCGTCATATTGAAGGATCCATAATCCTTGGTTTTTGCTGATTCACTATCGAGAGCTATCGGTGATTGGTGCAAACCTTCTTTGCATAATGGTGACCAGTTTTCTATAACAGATATCGTTTGGTGAAGCAAAGATAGTACGTAATCAGACGTTATCCCAGACAGAACTGAATAGGTACCTATTTCTAGATTATTCTCTAAGAATTCTGAAAATGAGGAGTATATTCCGAATAACTATCGAATATTCCTAGAATATATACATATATCACGACGACCATGAAAGTGTGCATGCTCAACTTTCAGAATACGCTCTCTTAATTGAAAATATTTTCGGCAATGCAGTGTTGCCGCTTCTACTGAAAAGTAGTAGCAACAATGATATTTCGAATAGAACATCCTGTATTTTATCGCATTTTTGAATTCTCTCTAGAGAACTACTCCCATCGATGTATAACACTTGGAGTCTATCAAGAATGATAACAGATATATAGGGTGTTCAAAATCGAGATTTTACAACTTTAGGATTTAGAACCAAAATGGCTCACATGTCCCTATCTCAACTTTCGACTTACTATTTACTGATATTTAATCGGAACAGATACAGGGTGGTTCAAGATCCAGAATTTAAAAAATAAATGATGTACAGGGTGTATCTAAATAATAACCAAAATAATCAAGGGGAGATGACGAAGACGAATCATTCTAACCTATATCTTTCAGATTCGTTAAAATCGTTCCAACCACGTTGGATTTGAAAATTCAAACTTATTCATGAGGTAATAAGTAGCCTCTTATCTAATCATGATTAGGTTTAACTAAATAATTCATTAACTTGTTTTTCGTCTCATCAGTATGTCATTTTTAACAATTTTACAAATTTTACAACAGAGTAACCATTCTCAATGAGTGTAAGTGACAAAGTTTTTTCAATATTGTGAATTGATTTTAATACTTCCAATTTTTGTAATCTACCCTGATGATGGAAATATACATTTCCGAAAGCTCGGACAAACTTAAATGAGTACACATTTACTATTGCTGCATCCCCACTAGACTACTAGTTTTATATATATTCGTATAGTTAGTGATGAAAAAAACAATTTTCTTACCTTCATCTTGATATTTCCATCCATTGCAGCTCACGTACCCTGAAAACAAATACAACCAAATCAACTCAACTTTCAAGATTAGCATTTTGATTTGTTGTGAAACTAGACCGCAGTGAAATTTTCACACACATCAAAAATTCGTTTGTTATTAACGGTTGAACCATTCGCCGACAACTGAAGAGATTCAGTGGTATCCCAGAGATCTCTATATACGAATCAATAAAAGTGTTGAATAATTTTATTCATATTTTGAATGTTGATGGAACCATTTCGATATCGTCTTCTCCCCAGTAACTTTCTCAAAACAGCGTTATTCTTTGCTGAGATTATATTTTTCACTTTATTGCGTCGATTGTCATAAACAAATATAAACTGGTCAACACTAGGAAGTATCAGATGAATTGTTCATCATATAACTGTTTATGTCAACTAAATTCTCAGAAGAACCTTTCACATAATCCCTGGAGGTCTACAACTACCTGCGAACAGGCTAAGCAATCCTTCATTTCTGGAAGTATCTAGGTAACAGAAAATACTTTTTTTTCCCTTTTTGGATATATGATAAATTCATATTCATCATACATATGTCAACAAATCATAATTCTCAGATGTCAGTTCGTTATAGTATTAGTTATATTATAGGAAGAAATTACTTACTGATGAGGATTTGATATCCGAAATGAGTTTATTCTAGTGAAGTCATATATCCTTTTTGTGAGAGATATAATTCCAATATCACTGATTCGAATGATTTTCTTTGGAAGTTCCAAGCTCATCGAGATCAGAGTTTGAACAAGTTAGTATATACTTCTCATATACATTTCAATTTTCATTTCAATATCTGTTATCTGTGTATCGAAAAATAATATATATTTAATTCTAAGAGAATATTTACCCTCTATAACATTTATTGAAGAAAAGTTATCAATTTATCATCATCAAGAACCAATTGATTCGATGGAAATATGTTCTATGGAAATATTTGAAATATTATTATGTGATGTTGAATACTGTGCGAATTGTTGTTGAGCTTTAATCAATTATCCATCGTCTAAATAACCTGCTAGGTATAGGAATATTCGTTAATCTAACATTCCCAAAAACTATTCAGGATAAAATTGGTATGTCAGTTTCAGTGTTGACCAGTTTATGATAACTATATATAACATTGTAGCTCATTTGCAAATATTTCCATATTAGCTGTGCTATCGGTAATGAGGACTAGCTAGTAAAACATGAAGAAATGTCAAGCATTGAAAACACAAATCCATGGTCTTCTCGCTTTTGGTTTTCTATAAATTAATATTTTAATAGTGTAAAGGTTTTTGAGGGATATTAGTCATAAAATGATATCGAATATGTTGACCCGTATGATTCTTCATGCGTTAAAATGTCTGCAAAAAATTAATTCACATTCAACTTAATAGGTAAATTTGGATCTGAAGTACATTTAACATTGATGTCTGTTGAGACCCATTAAAAATAATAATAATTATTGTTTGAGATCAATAATTGTTTTCTGTTTCTTAGCTTTATTTCATGAGTGATATATTTTGTCGAATCTCATGAGAAAAATTAAAGCAACAAGCTAGTATCAAGATTTGTATTCATATGACATTCTCCAGATTGAATCAGACAATGAATGATAATACAGAAATCCGTGCCGTCCAAATTGAATATACTATTAATTATAATTAATTGACAATTAATGTCGAGAATATTATGTGAAAATTTCACAACGAAATATTGTTGAAGAATATTAGGATTATTTTGTGCTAAATATAATACAAAATAGCGAATATAGTTACGCAAAATATTGATGAATCAGCTGGTGGTATAGTTCAATCCAATATTCTTGACTAACTTTATTACTCTAAAAGTGATGGAAATATGTTTTGTTAGAAGGAACTCGAAGCAGTAGCTTAGAATCAATGAAATTCATATATCCATAACATTGTTGGGTTGAATAAAACACAATGAACTTCCTTCAGATATACAAAATATTACAAAATAAGTCGATATATATATAGCTCAACTTCTCAGTTTTTCACAAATTAATTCAACTAATGCTGGTAGAAATATATTTTCTCGCAATAAACTCGAAGAACTTTTTAGCACCAACGGAATTTGCTCACGTGTATATAGGTCAAATGAAATATAATTAAACTACTTCAATGAGATGGAAAAATATTAAAAAAATTAGTCGATAGTAATTCAATCTTTCAGTTCTTCAGAAATTCATTCAGCTAGAGTTGGTAGAAATATATTTCTTATATGGAATGAATTCGACATAATCTGAAGATGAATGTAAATGATATTTCACCTATAAATGTCAAAAAATGTAATTTCATGCTCCATTCACCAACGAGAAGGAAAAAATTTCCGGAAATTTTTCAAATTGCTAACGATACAATATACATTAGACTTTCAAATTGTTGAAAATGTTATGTGTGATATTTTCGCTTCGGCTTCTGTATTGGTATAGATATGGACTATAGAGCAACTCCCATAATTTTTAGTACTTAAACAAAAAATGTCACTGTATAAACAGAAGATACCGTGAGAACAGTAGATTCTGATTGGTTTTCGAAAACAATAGAAAATATTCATTCTTCTGGTTGAAATTTAAAAATTGTATCATAAATTGCAGGAGTGGATCAATTCCATAACCACCTAGTATACCTTTATAGGATAAAATAGATTATATTTCGGGTTTTAATTCTTCATGCTTGAAAAAAAGAAAAAGTTGCCGGAACTGGAATAAGTATCATGAATATTAATTTTTTCAACAAATATTTGGATTAGATATTTATCGACTACACCTGTAAAAATGTAAATGAGATGATAAAAAACCTATCTATCATACTTCTCTCAACATACCTGTATATATAAATATCTCGACCGAATGAAGAATGAAGGTCGAATTGTCTTCAAATATTTGAATCAGAATATCATTCATTATACCAACCATTTAAATAATTCGTTTATTTGTTATAGTATTCAATCCGAGCGTATATTCTTCCAAATCAATAAATTGATTAATGTCTTCTTGATTAATCTACCTGTAATCATGTTTGTGATGTTGCAAAATTAAATCAAAGTATCAAACATGATATTTCACAATCGAATTGATCAGAAAATAAATCAATTTTTTTGTTGTAGATATACAGGGCGTTTATTAGTCTATGCGCGTGGTCGATATTGTTTCATCTGCTACTATCGCTAAAAATACCAGGTGTCCCAGATCTTCTCATGCAGCCATAGTATATCAATAAAGCTGCTTGAACAAAACTCTTAAGAAATTACACTTTCGCCAACCCCATATATGGCTTCAAAGTGATTTGGGTTTGACAAAAGTGTGATTTTTAAATTTTTTTTTTCGAACAGCATTGGCTGTAGGAGAAGATCTGCGACACCCGGTATATAAGGGTCTCTTGAAATTGAACCTTCCTCATTATCTTTTTTATCTTGACGATTCGGAAAAAATCATAAATCTGAAAGTTGCATGGAGCAACTTCAATTCAATTGGACGCGCTCAAGAAAAAAATATGAATATAATATAAAATAGTTATTTTTGTATCTAGAGCGCGAAATCCTACTTTGGTGATCGAGATCTGATTTTTTTAACGAGGCGTAGCCGAGTAAAAAAAATAGTCGAGATGACCAAAGTATTTCGCGCTCGAGTTGCAAACAAAATTTTTTTTACAAACGTCAAAAAATATAGTTCTAAAGTAAAAATATGCTTAGCTAGATATAAAAAATAGTGTTGAACTGGCTTTAAAGGCCTCCCCCTATCCTCCCTAGGTACGCACGATGTTCCACGAACATAATACGAATTTCCTTTCGTGCGCTCAAGAGATAAAACAAAGTTATTGTTGAACATTCAGAAATAAATGATTTCATGGATGTTTGCTCGATTGAGGACCATATAGTTGAAATATAAATATATCATAAATTTTACATTACAATGCGCGAAGTAGGTACTTCGCGCACTGTTTTACTTCGCGCATTGTTATGTGCAAGGTATCATGGTAACGTAGGAAACTGAAAAAAAGTGTCACTTCGCAGTTTGTCATCAATGCGCGAACCTTGTCATTTTTTGACGTTTGTAGAAAAAAAAAATATATCTGAAGAAATTCAACTATTGAAAAATAACCCATTTCTTTTGGTTAGTGTTAGCTAAAATGTCCTCACAAGGTAGCAGGAGTTTTGAAAATCTAATGTAGATAACTTTGTATTCAGACAGAGAATGCGAATTCTCAATGTTTTTCTTTAGATGTACCAATTTTGTTCATATTCATAATACCTAAAAGGGGAAATATAATTTGCTGACCAAAACTATTAAAGAATGCTGACCAAGCATTTCTGGTTCGAATTTTTTCTTCAAATTGCATATTCGAACATCTCATGTAGATTTATAGATGCCAACAATGGAATTATTTCAATTCCTCCCTTCAGAGGGGTAGTTTATTCTTGCAGTTTTTCAAAAATCCTTGCTGACTGAGCATTTCTGGTTCGTATTTTTTTCATCAAATCACATATTCGGATATCTCATATAGATTATGAATGCCACCAGTAGAATTATTTCGATACACCCCTTTAGAGGGTTCGTTTATTCTTGCGGTTTTTCAAAAATCCTTGCTGACCGAGCATTATACAGTGTGGCCACCTTAAGGACTTACCACACCCCTGTAAAATTGTTATTATCTGACCGAATTCAAAAAACTTCACTTTGTTGGATAGGTATTTGAAATTTCCGTCCAACAAGAGAGTGATTTTATTCATGAACTGTGATCGTGGCCAACTGCGACCAACTTTATTGACCCATATTTGAGAAAGTACTTTTAAGGATTTTTTCCACAAAAGACAATGATGGATTCTGAATCACGATCACTTGAAAAACACCATTACTGATTTTTATCATCATAAAACACAGGGTGTCCATAAAAACGAATTATGTTTTTTTTTAATAGGTGATCAGAAAATGTAGAATTGTGGTATTTTTGAGGAGAATTTTTGACACATTATTATTGAGGATC